GTTATAGAGCAACCCGTGATCGCTCGCAGATTCCCAACAACCTGGACAGACCACACACCGAGGCACTCAGCAGCACCATGTCGCCCACATAACTAATATTATTGACACAAACCCCGTCAATATGGCAGCTGACCCGGGTGCTGCTGAGCTCCTCTATCAGTGCGTTGACGTACAGGTTGAAGAGCTTTGGCGAGGTCAGCCCCCCTGCCTCACCCCGCACTCCAACCTGTACGGCTCCGACAGAGCAACAAACCATCGAACGACGTTGACCTGGTTAAAATACCAGTACTTGAAGATTTCTATCAGTTTGATAGGCATTGAGATGTTCTTTAATTTTTGCCATAACATGTTCTTTAATTTTTGCCATAACATGTCATAACTAACCAAGTCGAACGCCTTCGAGATGTCGAGGAAACAGGTGTGCTTTCGGAGTAATACTTGATAGTTTGCTTTAAACCCAAGATAGCTGACTCAGTAGACAGTCCCGGTTTAAAACCAAATTGATTGTCATGAGCGTTTACACACCGGTCAAGCTGTGTATTAAGCAAACCGTCAAGAACCTTAGCAAGCACTGTGGCTAGAGAGATTGGCCTGTAGTTGCTCGTGTCGCTTAGGTCACCAGTTTTAATCTTCACAATTGGTACCACCACAGTCCTCATCACATCTGCTGGTAAGTACGCATGTCCTATACAAAATGTATATAACATGGCAAGAACTCCGAATAGGTGGACCCCGGCATGGTTTAGATGCTCAATGCTCAGGCAGTCATGGCCAGGAGACTTTCCACGTGACATTTATTTTATAACTCCCCGAACATCATTTGCTGTAAATCTGGTACTTATCTCCAGCCCATGCGACTCCTCTACACTGAATGGCCGTGATGTAAATAAGTCCGAATACATTTCGGTTCACTCATACCGTTGACGCCCACTGGTAAGCCTGGCTTATTATTTAGCTTTCTCGTAGTTTTCCAATAGTTACGACAGTCATGCTTCGAATGGTGAGAAGCGAAGATATCCATCTTTATTGCCGGCATTTTTTGGGAGTACTAAGCTTGAAGTTGTTAACAAGTATGTTTACTTGAGACAAATAGTCCGACTAGGTAAGTCCAACTTACACCAAAAAGTCAATCGACGGGTTCTACTCGGCTGGGCAGCGTTCGGGAGATTACAACACATCTCGTCAGGTATACCTCAAAACAAGATTGTACAACCAGTGCGTGTTACCAGTGATGACTTATGGATCTGAGATATAGTTCTTCACTGCTGGCCGTATAAGGAAGCTCAAGGTCGCTCAGAGTGGGAGTTTCTCTGCGTGATAAACTTAGAAATGAGGATATTCGCAGTAGAACTAGATTAGCCGATAAAGCCCAACGGATTAGTAAGCTGAAGTGGCAATGGGTCGGCTACATAGCTCGAAGAACCGACAACCGATGGGAAAAAAGTCCCCGACTCGCAGCCTTGTACCGGTAGGTGATGTGTAGGGTGGCCCCCGATTACATGGAGTGACCACCTGGTAAGACATTCAACAAGTCGATGGATGCAGATGGCTCAGGGCCGTGCTTTGTGGCGTTCCTTGGGGGAGGCCTATATTTAACAGTGGACTTGTGAAAGGTTGTAATAATGAAAGTAATGATTGAAATACTTAAGCATGATAGCACGCAATTTTATGCAACACCAGAAATATGCTTATCAAACATAATATGTTGACCTTGACGACTTGATGTTTTGATTGCATAATTTTCCGGGAAGCCCAAAGAAGAAAGCTTCGAAAGAAGTGAATTGTCCTGAATCCGATTGGAGGTCTTCACTTTGCCCAAACTAAACATGAAAGCCTCCCCCTTGGAGTCGACTGCCTCTGTCTATCGATTTGATCGAATGAAAGTTCTTCACGGTATCGATCTTGATCGCCACGAATACCGAATATCCAAATGTTTGTAGTTACGGCAACTAAGAAGAACTAAGTTAAAGCGAGGCGTTATTTGCGCTGTAAGTTTAGTTAACTTCATTCGCACGTAGAGGATACTACCATCGAATAAACTACCACTAGTTTGAAAATTTTGTTTATTTATTGATGGATTTCTTAAAACTAGCTGTAACTACGATATCATAGACAATAGCTGAATAGTTAATTATTGAACTACGTACAGCCGGCTGTTTAGGCTATTTAAATTTCGGTTCATTAGTTTTCATCACACTCAACGCTGTCGCCCGCTAGCCACAGATTATTAGACACCTATGTATGCAGATAGCTACCGTTAGGCCATAGATTATGAGAACAAAGAAATACTGTATTTAGTAATTTAATTACTAATTACAGTAGTATAGAGCTATTACTAATTACATATTACACAAATTACTTAGTACGCATCGTAGGTGGTTATAGATGCTTATATTGATGAGTGTATGACAAATAGGGATGTATCAATTGCGTGCCGATCGGCAACGAACTATCGATAAGTTATGTAAATAAATATCTTTGTTGTTAGGGTACTTTTATGTTTAATACGTTATTTCCTATACTACTAAACAAGAAATTTTTGTTTAGTTATTTATATATTTGTTTATAATCACAAATCAATTATGTGTAATAGATATCACAGAAAATCGTGTGAACTTGTGAAATATTAAGGTTTATAAAATAACAGATCGGGATTAGTGTTTTTTTTAATAATTAAATTAGATAATATATGATACGTACATGAACTACATATATTGAATTTCAACATTTTTAATCAAACAATATCATTCATTTTTGTAATTTCTCGTAATATGTAATTCTTCTAGTAAACATTTCAAAAAATAATATTTTAAATATCAACTACAGCGTTGGTCACGTCACATCACTACAGTCTCTCGTGGGTAGCGCGGTGCGCGGATGGACATGTGCGTGCCCGCTTCCCAAGTCTCCTTCATCTCCGCGATGCGTGATTTGTTTTCATAAAAATATGTATAAAAATCGACTTACGGGTGAAATGTCATACTGGATTTCAGTTTGTGTGTTTCCTAGTATCGTTCTTGCAAGATCGAACTGCACATTTGACCATTTTAACACGTAAATATGAAAAATCTCTGGAGTAACGCACTCTGCTACCACTCAAGCACTCACAGTGAGAACTGGAAAGTGGGAACGCTGTGTTGTGCCTACTGTTCCTACTTCGTTGCGCGCGCTCTATACTACTGTAATTACTCGTAAGGTTACTAATTAATGAGGGATTCTATGACTTTTTGCCCCCTGGGCTGTGCCACTTAGGAACGAGGTGACATATATGACAAAATACTTGGCCGGGAAGTTAATTTATTAGGAAAATGTAAAGGTGAATGTTTCTTTTTGTAATAATAATTATATATTGTATTAATTATATTAAAAATGAATAAACCAAACTACAGATATTCCTAAAAATAGTGAAATAAAAGAGAGTTAAAAAAATTAAGGAACAAACTACTGAAGCATTACACGGCTCCGTGGTGCAGTGGCTTAGCAATCAGTTGTTGCGCTGATGGCCGCGGGTTCGAATCCCGCACGGAACAAGTATTTGTATGGCCTACAAATAATTGTTCCGGGTCTGGATGTTTGTCCTTGTGCAATTTATGTTTGTAAGCTGCCTCCACGACACAGGAGAAAATCCTAGTGTGCGGGTAACGTTTTATAAAAGGCTTAAGAAAAAAAAACATAAATAAAATTGTATTAAAAACGCAGCTTTTCAATTATTTGACATTTGGCCAAATACTCAACGCTACTCAATTTTAAGAGGTCATCAAATATCGTGGTGTCAGTCACTTTGACTTAAAGTGATAGAGACAGCATGAGACTTAACGGCAACTTAAAATTAAGTAGCGTTTGAGTATTTGGGCAATTGTGAACCAAAAAACTTCACCTCAGTCCCTACTAACATCTGAAAACGAAAGATTATTAGCCCACATTGAAGTGAATAAGTGACAGGGAACTACTCGTCACTGATCACCATGTCACTTAGAAGCACGCGCGTATTTCAATAGTTAGAAAATATAAAAGCAGAGTTAGCGCAAATTTTCGATCAACTGTCGTGGCATATTTTTTTTATAGGATATGGTGACAAACGAGCACACAGTCCACCTGATGGTAAGTGGCCACTGTGGCCCATAGACATCTACATTTGTCCTCGATTACGAATCAAAATGCAGATGCGTTGTCACCCGTGAGGACTAAGATGGAATGCCTCTTTGCTAGTAAAAAGGGTTTCCGGTTCTCTACACTCACCATACGAAACAGCAGCGTTAAGCTGCTATTTTACGCTGGTTTTCTGTGAGAGCGTGGTCCTTCCCCGGTCGAGCCGACCCATTCGTGCTACAACTATACCACTAATATAGCTGCAGCATGGCTCTACCAGGTATAAAATATGATCTTTTCCTTTTAACAAAAGGTACACGTATATCTTATGTCAGCAAGCGTATGGAATGAGAGGTTATTAGAGATAGACCAGTCTTAGTAATCACTTTCTTGGAATCGCTCCAATATTTCGGCTCCCATTTTTAGTTACAAAATGCTTGACTTTAAAATACATTTTTGTACATGTAATGACAGCAACTTTTGTTGAAATGTACCCTTTAACTTGATTTTGAAAAACAGGTTATTTAAAAAAATATTAATGCATCTAGAGGTGGTTGAGCTGAATTAATGAGAAATGCCTATATAGTGGGTTCTTTATATTATAATAAAACAGCAGTTTACCCAGCTTGAAATATTTAATCTTATCTTGAAAACAATTGGAGACGCTAATAATAAATTATTAAGCATATTTTGTTACAGTGTATACATATTTTCCATTAAACAGTACTTAATTGTATTTTGCTTATATGCGACAATACATACGATAATTATAAAAAGATAATATTAACAGGGTAAAAGATTCATTTTAACAAACTGAATTTAAACCTTAAAACATGTGGTATTAGTTTCACAATAAATTGTTTATATAAATAAGTTAAAAAATATAATATACTTTTCCACAACCCTACCGTTCAATTTAAATGTTGTGATATGTACTGCTTATTGTTATTTTTTCTTTGTTTCAATAAACCTAACCCTACATAACGCGCCATTACTCTTAGATATGAGGGACTAAGCTTCTTTCTCTTCTCTAGTAGTGATTTCAGTAGCATTTTTGAGGATTCATCGAATGAAGTTTGATAATCTGACGCCTAAGAAAAAGAAAATACTAAAATTACATTATGTCATTTTTTTACTTATTATAATCACGGTGGTAATTGGCGATAAAGCCCTAGATGGTAAATTATGTTCTGGCGCAACGAAAGCCTATTCAGTGTTCTATATCGCTAGCCTTGAAGTCACCCTCGTTGAAATCTTACAGAAAGACAGACCCTGGCAAATTATTTCACTCTTATGCTACTTGCATAATAATTTTTACGTGGTAGAGCCATTCTGCAGCTATTTTAGTGGTATACTTGTAATATGAATGGGTTGGCTCGACCGGGGAAGGACCACGCTCTTATAACACCAGCGCAATTTACGCTGCTGTGTTTCGTATGGTGAGTGTAGAGAACCGGAGACCCTTTCGAGACCGGGCCAAAGCAACCACTTACCATCAGGTGAATTGTGAGCTCGTTTGGTCACCCTTTCGCCAAAAAATTTAAGAAAAACAAAGCAAACAGTTTAGTTCGAACACGTGAAACAAAAAGGGGTGAAAACATGCATAGCGTCTGGTTGTCCGATGGTAAATGGTGGTGAAAATAAAATCATGTAATTCCTGCGCACACAGCGGAATGTATCCTACAAAATACCTAGAGACTACGCGCAGGCGTAGAGGAGTCAGTCTCAAGCACAAGATAGATTCTCAAGACCGACAAGATTAGTTTAAACCATATAAAGGTCACCAATAGCCGCCTTTAAAACACATACGCTCTTTAAAGTGTGGATCGGCTTTCGCGCAGGAAAGAGCGCGTATGTAAAGATAGAAAATGAGAACGAGAATGCAAGCGTGCCCCGCCTGTTCGCGGATCCCCTCATAACTCAGTCATACGTACATGTCTGTGCTATCAGTATAAATAAAGGTACTCTGTAGTCTGTGCGCTTTAAACATAATTTACAGACACGGTTTTAGTAAAACGATTACCATCGTAAAATGGCGGACATTAGATTATGGAGCAAGGATATTACAGAGTTCTTGGCAATATGCAAGTCTCATGCATGCCATCTTATGTTTGATTTTATTTAAGAATGTATAAAACTAAATTAATAAATATATAGTATATTATACGCTTAGACCAGCAAACATAACTGCTTATGTAATATTCCTTCTAACCCTTTTGTCCATTTCTTTAGAACACTAGTTTTCAAAACGCGCGTTTAACAAATCCCGTGAATCATGCGCGATTAACCTTTACACGACGCTCTTTACTCTATGAATAAAAATAGGTTAGGAAAATAGCGCGCGAAAGAGTCAACACACATAAAATGGATAAACACAATCACTCACGATTGCGCGTGCAAGCTTTCCCGCGGTCAATCGCGCACACTCCAATCGCGAATGAAAAAACGTGTCGTGTAAAGGGCGGATATTAAGCGTCTCAAACGAGGTCAACGCTGCTAGTTGGCATTTTGCAGCACCAGCCTATATGTGAAAGAACCATGGAGTAATATGATCAGCCGGACTAACACTTTATAGAGGGTTAAGAGATATAGGTACTGATATCTGTTTATAATACAAAAAAAGCAACCAAAGCAACTTTTTAAAACTTTTTCAAATATTGCCTGTGTTGTATAACAGCAAAGATTTAATATATATATATATATATATATATATATATATATATATATACACATTGGGAATTAATATACAAATATATATAATAATATGCAATTTATAAACAAAAACTTTAAGCTCGTGCGTGTGTGACGCCCTATAGCTAAAAATAGCAAAACAACGCTATCATTTACTAAGACAAAATTTTAGCTATTCCCCAGTAGGTGACACTTAAAATATAAGATCGTTTTAGGAATGTTACCCTTTCGATACCAAAGTATCGATAATGTTGTTGAAGGTTACTAAGTTTGAAATGCTTTAAAATATAATAATAGGGTATAAAATGATTATTTCATTGTATAAATCTATTTATCATGACTTCCATCACACGAAAAAAATCACTTTAACTTTTTATGCCTGTATTTTATACTGATCCTGCTTTTATATCTTTAAGTAATTATAGTGAAAAATAACCTGTTACAATGTAATAACAGTGAAAAATCACCTGTTACAGTGTAGATAATAGATAATCTCTATTTTAGTTATTCTACAATAACTCAGCTTCTAGACTGACAAATCTTTTCAGCTATTAATTGTTTATATATTCTTTGAAGCTACACGTATTGCAGGGTGTAGTGCAACTTGTATTGATAATATTTTTACAGGTGTTGTACCAATCAACAAATCAATAATTCAAAAACTTAGTTCAGATCACTGTGGACAACTGGTTTCATTACCTTATATGCACAAAAAACATGAAATTGAGAAAATTGTGTTTGTTCCTATTAATGCAAAACGCCTGGAAAGATTTCGAACTAATATGGTAAAAAACCTTCCATCGCTAAGACCAATGCAAACTATTTATATGGAGAATTATTTACCCTTATAAGCAATGAATTTAAAAAAACATTTACTTCTAAAACATTCTCCAGAAACAGTCGCAAATCATTTAATGAGTGGGCGACAGTAGGAATTCATAAAAGAAGAAGAAGGTTATATGACCTTTACCATGAAAGATCATATAATCCTTCCGATGCTTTTAAAGAATATGTCAAAAATTATCCACATCCATATTAGTTTGCTCCACAGCCAAATCGTTACATATTAGCAATAAAATTAAGACGGCTAAGAATAAAATTAAAATGACGTGGAGTATAATTAACAGCGAAACCGGTAAAGAAAAACCTCGTAACTCAAACTATCCGCTGGGGGTAATTAAAAATTAACAATGAATTGGCTAAATCAAATCAAGAAGTCGCGGCGGTGTTTGAGAAATATTTCACTGATATTCCTATCTTGACAACAGAGTCATTGAATACTTCTCCAACTGTCGCCGAGTCATTACTCAAACAGAATGTTAATACCTGTTTAAAAGAATTTAGATTTGAAAAAGTATTACCGTAAGATATTGTAAAATACTTCAAAACCATTGATGTAAAGAAAACCGCAGATTTGTGGGGATTTCCGTGACAGTTATTGCGTCCATAATAGATTTAATTGCACCTCATCTTGCTATTATTTTTAATACTTGTATCGATTCTGGTGTGTTTCCTGATTTAATGAAGTATACTAAAGTAATACCTTTATTTAAATCTAGTAGTACATTGGACCCCGCTAATTTTAGACCTATTTCTGTACTACCAACTCTCAGTAAAATTTTTGAAAAAATAATTTTGGATCAATTGTTAATTTTTTTCAATACAAATAAATTACTTCATAAAAACCAATTTGGTTTTACAAGGGGTCGCTCGATGTCTGACGCCGGTGTTGAGCTTATGAAATATATTTTTAATGCCTGGGGGAATTCACAAGATGTCTTAGGTATTTTCTGTGATCTTTCCAAGGTTTTCGATTGTGTTCATCATGAGACTTTAATCAAGAAACTACAACATTAAGGTGTAAAAAATTTGGTGCTTATACTTATTACTTCATATTTAAGTAACAGAACTCAAAAAGTCGTGATCAATGGTAAAGGCTCCTCCGGATCTGTAGTATCAATGGGCGTCCCTCAGGGCTCGATTCTTGGCCCATTCCTGTTTTTAATCTATATTAATGACTTACCTTATCTTGTAGGGGACAATCACGATATAGTATTATTTGCTGACGATACCTCTTTAATTTTCAAACTCAAAAGGCAGTTAATTAATTATGACGATGTAAATAATGCTCTATCGAAATTAGTACATTGGTTTACGCCAACAATATGCTCTTAAACGGCAATAAGACAAAGTGTATTAAATTTACAATACCTAATGTAAAACATTCGAATACCAATGTGCTGTTAAATGGGGAGGAGTTGAGTCTTGTGGATACCACTGTTTTTCTCGGTATTACTATTGACGCGAAACTTCAATGGGGCCCCCATATATCTAAGTTAGCGAGCAGACTTAGTTCTGCAGCATATGCTGTAAGAAAAATTAGAAGTCTTACAGATGTTGAGACATCTAGATTAGTGTATTTTAGTTACTTTCATAGCGTAATGTCTTATGGAATTTTGCTATGGGGTAATGCGACTGATATTGAAGCTATATTTGTTTTGCAAAAACAAGTCAAGAAAAAAAAAGTCCCGCTGGGTTTTTTGCTGGTTCTTCCCAGGTTCTGGTTCTTTCTACACACACACACACATATATATATATATATATATATATATATATATATATATATATATATATATATATAATGTGTGTATGTATATATTTTTTGTAGTTACCTACTCCAGTTTTTCCTAATCACTGGACCTTTTTAATCCTCTCGAATGAACCATACATACCCAATGGTGAAATCCGGAATAAAACCTATTCTATAGTTACGAGAAAACGTAGATAGGACTAATGCCGTATCGATTTTTGTTTTATATGAATATGTATAAAGCTTGTGTCTAAGACAAAAGTATTAATTGATATATTTATTAATTGTGTGGCATTATATTAGAATAATACATAAATAGAATGGTAGGCCTGGGTATAGAATTTTTATCGATATATTTTGTCACATCGTCCTCTTATAGTACCGTGAACGGTCACTTCTTCTATCAGCGCCAAAATGGCGAAAATCAAATCGCTTTATTATGTCTTGGTGTATAGCCAGTCCAGCGTACTTGTATAATAGAGGTCAGCGCTAAAACCGGACTAATAATATCTAAAACTTTGTGCGGCACATGATAAGATTATTTGATTTCTCTGAGTAGTCATCTAAGGGCATGTCTATACTATGGACAAAAGCCCTTAGTGGATTGTCGTATCAATGACAGACCAAAAATTATACTGAAAGCCACAAAGTGTAGTGGTGATGCGCAATAAAAATAATAATAAAATAAAATCTTACTGTGGTCTTCGCAATCCAATAAAGCTCTTCCAGAAAACTATCTTCTTGTGCCCTCGGTAAAAAAGATATCCCTTCGTACTATATAAAAACAAAAAAAATATTACGTCAAAAACAAGACAAAAGAATTGTCCGCGTTAATTGCGTAAGCAAGAGAACAAGTTGAACAACCAGTCTCACCTTATTATTATTTTTAAGTTACCAATTAACCTCCTGACGTATTTCTGTCATCAGAAGTGCGACAAAATACATTTCCGATATATACTAAATGACTTTTCTCTTGTACTTGCATGATGTTTGGTGAATTTATTCGCTTGGGAATGGGTTTGAACAGTAGGCAGCCACGTTCAAAGACTAGTTACGGTGAGCCAGTTTTCCAAATTACGATGCTCCGCTGTGTAACTGATAGGGACCCAAGAAATGAAAAAGCAATTCACGAAAGCATAACCGCCACCTCGCGTTAAATCCTGGAACGGCGCCATCGCCAATTTACGACTGAATGTGAGTATCTGATGGCGATCTCCATGGAGGTTCAGACCTAGAGTCCCCACAGTCTCCAGGCGAGTCTTCCAAAGATAAAGTTTTGCTTTATGCAGTGACGGGTATGCAATGCATTGACTCGTTCCACGATTAACTCTGATTTAACATGAAAAAGAAAAAAAAAAAGAAAGGCAAGCATTCACTTTCTTTTACTAAAAGTACGCCTGTTAATAGGGATCAAGGATTGCAATCTTATATCAATTTAGCCCATTATCTTGAGACTGAAAAACCACTATATCTATTACATCCTATTTTGTGACCTATCCGTCGATGATGTAGCTCGCTCATAGTACGAATGTGCCTGTGTTCGTGAAGATATTAGGAGGAACAGAAAACTTAATCGTACCCCGAGCACCTGCAAAAAGGCTCTACAGAAAGCTAGTTTTGACCAAAATAATCGCATTGAAACCAAGCATATTACTTATTCTGCTGGTACCTGGTAATGAAGCGTTTGTCTCTCGCCAAGGCCAAAGCAAAATTTCCGATTTTTTATAATAACTAACACTTTGCACATTAAATATTATTTTTGATAATCAGTTACCTAAACATTAATTTCATTGCTTGTCATGCGGTCGTCGGCGTGGGGAAGCAAGGTTAAATTAAAATTTCTTTGAGGTAAGAACTGAATTTATTTTTAATAAATGTCTTTTTAGTCTATTACCGTTTCAAAATAAGGTACCTCGGAGAAGAAACGACGAAATAAGCATTAAAATGTGTATTTAAAAATTAAACTGAAGTAAATACTAGACGTAAAAATTTTGAAGCTGAACGCAATAAGCATATTCAGCAGCAGATCCCATTGTATGTGTAAAAATATTTCCGTAGTATTAGTTACCTTACTTCATCCCTTTATACTGTAAGTATATAAAAATCTTACTAGTTCGAAAAAAAATTGAAGGAAGGTGATGTGTAGTTACCGTAATCTTTATCTCTTAGTTATCTTTTTGTACGTGGTAGAGCCATTGCTGCAGCTATCTTAGTAGTATAGTTGTAGCACGAATGGGTCGGCTCGAACGGGGAAGGACCACGCTCTCACAGAATAGCAGCGTAAAATAGCAGCTTAACACTGCTCTTTCGTATGGTGAGTGTGGAGAACCGGAGACCCTTTTTACTGGAAAAGAGGCATTCCATCTTAGTCCTTACGGGTGACAACGCATCTGCATTTTGATTCGCAAACGAGGATAGATGTAGATGTCTATGGGCCACAGCAACCACTTACCATCAGGTGGACTGTGTGCTCGTTTATCACCCTATCCTATAAACAGTTACCTGGGAAACACAGAGGTTTTCTTTTTCAATAACTTCAATTTCCATGTCAAGTTCTGTTATAGTTGTAATTCTTTTTATGGCAATTCCTTGCAGTAAAATTGGTCGGAACCGTTTCAGATTCGTTGTTTCCTTTTTATTCGCCAATAAGAGAATGAGAAGAGCCTGTACTGGAGTTATTTCTTTTATCCAACTTTTCATCTGAAATTTCACAAAATAAAAAGGTTCGTAATGAAAGTCTATTAAATAATATAAAAACAAAATAATTACAGCGTGACCACAAAGTTAATGAGGCTAAAAATGTAAGAACTTCTTTATATTATGCCAACCTATCTTGCACGTTTTACACTCTGCTATTTAGTTAGTCTGACGACAAAAATTTAGCTGGAAATTCTTTTGCTAACTAAACAAAAAAGCATAGCATAATTATATATGCGATACGCGCTTACCAACCAGCCTGCCTAGCGTGCTATGGACATTTTTGAAGTGCTTTTCAAAAATATCCATCACTGGTAGTTACATTTTAGGCCAGTAGGTTTTTAAACTGTCAACCGCTATTTTAGATTCAATTGTGTTTCCTGACATCTTTCTTGACCGATTCTGACTATGATATTATCACTATGTCTTTATATAGTGATATGATAATTATTTTTAAATATGGCGAAATCTGATCAGTGCTACAGAAACTTAAAGGAAATGTGGTGTTGCACTTGTCGCACCACTGTATAGTAAATGGACCGAACAACTACAGAAATATAAATCCAAGATTCTACAAGTGTTACGCAGAAGACCCTTACACAATTTTAACGTCTGACAAATTAATTTTTTTTTATAGGGTAAGGGTGACAAACGATCACACAGTCCACCTGATGGTAAATGGTTGCTGTGGCCCATAGACATCTACATTTGTCCTCGATTACGAATCAAAATGCAGATGCGTTGTCACCCGTGAGGACTAAGATGGAATGCCTCGTTTCCAGTAAAAAGGGTCTCCGGTTCTCTACATTCACCACATGAAACACAGCTGCATCAAGCAGCTATTTTACGCTGGTATTCTGTGAGAGCGTGGTCCTTCCCCGGTCGAGCCGACCCATTCGTGCTACAACTATACCAGAAATATAGCTGCAGCATGGCTCTACCACGTATAAAACATTCTTAGACCATCTTCATAAACTGTGAACTACTACTACGTCACGGTAAACGACAGAAACTGGCCACAGTCGAGTGTGTGACTGCTACCACCACCTACCGGAGGAGTCATAGACAAGACTTTTTACATCTTAAATTGGGCTTCCATAAAAACATACTAAAAGCCGCGGAATAAGATTATTAATTTTTTTTCTTATACCATCTGCTGGTGATCTCATTAATTAAAAAGAAACCAAAGAAGTATACTACTGCAAATCGTGAAGTCGCCGTAAGTGCAAGATCGGACTAAAAACTATGATACGAGTATCATGACGTCGAAGATCTCAGCCCCCCTCCCTCCTATGACTATGAATGTTGTAACGTCGATAAAAAAGTTAAAATTAAACGCGGCAAAATCCGTATGTAGTATTCGTATGTAGCGTGATTTAGGCTTCCGTAGTAGAATAAACTTATTCTACTACAGAAGCCTAAATCACACTATGGGTGTTTTCGAACAACTCCGATATGTATAGATCGAGCTCCGTACAACAACACGAAGCATTGGCAGCAGATTACAATTAATTCAAAAATTCTTAGTCAGTTTAAATTGAAAGTATAACAACTATACAAGGTGGAAAGAGAAAATATACCTCTGTTATAAAAGATAAAACTGTTTTTCCCGAGTTTCCATCTAATATACCGGACAATGACTTGCAGCATCCGAAAGTAAGAAAGAAATCATCCAAATTCGTTATTTTATCCATAGAAGTGCTATAAACTTCCTTAGATATGTTTGTCATAGAACTACACTTCTTGTAAGACTTGTTAGAAATTTTCTTGATATTTGTTTTAATTTTTTCATTTTGAGATGGTAATTCTTTAATTTTCATCATATGAATTCCGTTGCAACGTTCTGCGTACATATTCAACTTTAAAGGTGAATTAAACGTATATTGAATAACGCAGTTTGTTCCATGAACCGATTGCCTAAAATCTTCATACATGTTATAAACAAGCCAGTTCTTCGTAGTTACAATTTCCTTTTTACATTCATATTGAATTGGGGCTGACGTAAAATTAAAAAACCCATAAATATATTTCTGTAAATCATTTATGCGCTCATTCGTTAATTTTAAAGTAGAATAAGATGTAATTTTAGATCCCTTATTAGGCGGTACATATAACTGCAAAGCATTGCAATTGTTGACTAATTCCTTGTTACAACAAACATTTTCGGTTTTATTTGGAACTTTATATTCTTTACTTTTCGTGTTTAAGAAAATATACAAAGGTGTGGTTAAAAGTAGTAAGTCTTTGATGTTTATGTTAAGTGATAATAAATTATCTTTTTTCCATAAATCAAGATTAAATAAATTTCTGTGATGTGGTCTTAGCATAATTTTAGTAGATATTTTTGAATATATTCCTTCTTTAAATATTTTCGTTTCAAATAATGAATTCTTGATAGGTTCCGCTTTGTCAATTTCTTTCATATTAAATACCGATACTAAAGAGAAATCTGTAGCATCACGGGTCGATTCATGCGCCATTTGTTTCAAATCCTTTGTTATTAGAGGCATCAATTTGGGTAATATACTGCATATTTCTGCAGGTAATACACTATTCATAATTCTTGTTTTATACTTGTATAACGTAGTCTTATTCTCCTTTCCGTCTGTCGCCATTATTGGCAAAATCGATGGAGTAAGTGATGCGGATTGTATAGAATCTGACACTTCAGGTACAGTTATATCAAATTGTATAGCCACATTTGTTAAACAATGGTATATAGATATTGTGGTACGAGTTAGCATTTTGACTTCAAGTTTTGACGCTGTAGTGACTTGAAGTTCGCCGAAACCTGGTATGATATTATAACATTTGTAGTTCTCATCTACATTTTTTGAAACTAATTCCATAGATTTTTTAGCAATGCCTTTGGCATCTAATTTACTATTAGGTCCAGTTTTCATTGAGATATCATCATCTAAAAATAAGTGTTTTAAGTTTAGCACTAAATCAATTACGTCATTTAATAACATTAATTACACACTTGACTTGGTCGTCTAACTTCAGAATAATTTCTTAAACTTACCGGAAACGAACTTTTGGTTCACCGCTTCAGGATTATAAGTATAGTATGTTCCTCTCATAATTTTCTTTAATACATTTTCAATAAAATCACTAACGCATTTCACTTTTGACCATGGATATTTCATTGATAATTGGGGTCTGTTGAATGAAAGTGATTTCTCGTAATGGCATATATCTGCATTCCTTTTCGAAATATTTAATGGTATTTCAATTCCTTTATTTGTATAATTTTCGTTTAAGCAATCGATAGGATCTCTTATAATCGATTTATTTGGAGTTTTATTAATGACGTCTATCATTTCATTTTTCAACTGTTTCGCTACTTTTCGTCTTTGAGGATAAGCTGCACTTATATTATCATTTGTATTTGAATTTTTGACTGATCTTGGACAGTTGATTTCATTTGAAAAATTATCAGAATTAACAGTTTTATAATCAATATGGCACTTACTTTTAATAGTGGGTACATTAATATTGAATTGGTTCCTAAAGAAGTCGCTGTCTTTTGAATCTGGTGTCCAGTCTCTCATGATTGGTTTTTTTTTAGTAAAATCAGCATTATCTTTAGACGAAGCAATCTTTGATAATAAACAAGGTTTAGCAGATAAAGGAATTTTAATTATTTCGCTATTCTTAAAATAAATTCCATTGTTGTTATGTATGCAGCCAGCTTTGCTAGATCTCTCTGAAGTTCTAGAAAATCTATCACTAGACGTATGAATTTGAACCATATCTTTGGATATATTGTTCAAACTTGTTATTAATTTTTTGCCACCGTAGTTTTTCACGTTGTTATTAAGCGTATTTATCAAACTAACGTAATCATTGAAACTAATCATGCAGCCAGCTGTGCTAGATCTCTCTGAAGTCCTAGAAAATCGATCACTAGACGTATGAATTTGAACCATATCTTTGGATATATTGTTCAAACTTGTTATTAATTTTTTCCCACCGTAATTTTTCAAGTTGTTATTAAGTGTATTTATCAAACTTACATAATCATTGAAATTAATCGTATCCGATCTATTAAACTCATTATGTAAATAATCTATAGAATTATTTGCTTTATGTAAAGGATAACGTACACTATTTTCAAGTAAATACTTAGCTTCTTTACCTATATCATCAACTTTTTTAGTATCTGTATATTTGATAACATTTCTAAACATTTTATTTGCTTTATTTTTTGTGTTCTTATCTGTTGTGTTTTCTTCTTTTGTGAGAAACCTTGGTTCCAAAACATTAGTTTCGGTACATTTCATTCTTCCGTTTGAATTATCATTCTTGCTTATTACTGTTATACGATCAAAACTTGATGGTTGTGAAAAAATACTTTGTGCGTTGGTATTAACATCAAAGCTAGATATATAAGTAAATTCTTCAGTTGTACACGTTTCTACTAATCTAAAAAAAGATATCATTGTTTGTTATTAGAAATTAAAAGTAATGAATCGTTAATTGTATTATTTGCGCTCACTTTGCCTTCTTCCCAACCCGAGATTTAACAAATAGGATTTTTTATAATTTCTGTTTGAAGGAATCCATCAACTTATATTGTCCCGAGCTTGTCGTAAAAGTTAACTTATAAAAATGATAATAAGATTTGTAGTATACAGAAAGCATAAATCCATTTCATTAATTGCCAGGCCAATAAATAGACGAGGAAATTAATGTTAAAGCGAGGTATATGGTAGGTACTGCAATTTTCAGTCTATCTAATAAGCGATAGAAATACACATAATAGAGCTATAGAAAGGCCCTCGATATGAAAGAAAAACTAGAATAGGTAATGACTTAAAAAACTCACAGTTCTAATTCTATCCAAATTTACATTAAGGCAATTTTGTATACATATTTTATGAACATACCTTGCATCGTTACGTCTTATAATTCCTTTCGTTAAGTGTTTTTTCCTTTTAACGGTTTCTGTGCTATCATCTGATAAAGGCGGAGAGTGTATGCATTGGATTCTATTCATATTTCTTAGCATGGCCCACACATCGCATGGTCGAATATTTTCTTTGCCATTTATTTTTTGTTGCATTTTGCGTGACTTACGGGTAATTTCTCTGTCTACATTTAAATGACTTATATCACTAGTCACTTGAGAATATTGCCGCATGTCTCCATTACAAAATTCATATTTATTGGTTTTCAAATGTGTATCACAACATTTTTTTAACAAGCGACGTTTTCTTGGCTTACATTTGCGGTTATTATCAACTCTGTTATGATATTCAGAATCATTCATGTCGCTTACAGTTTGTATGACAGGGGTAGGTTTATTAAGTGAAGTTAAAATCGGCATCTTATGTTTTTTATACTTATTTTTTATGCACTTAGATTCATCTGAATGGGTTTTATAGATTTCATAAGCTTGGGAAAACGATGAAATATTATCTGCTGATTCCTTATTGACGATTTTTTTCTCAGATATCCTGGAACGCCTCTGAACTTTACATCCATCAAGATACGGTGAAATCTGTTTAACGCATTTCTTAAATTTATTGTCCGTATTACGCACAATATTTTTGTTGTTTGTGGAAAGGTTTAATTTCACCGAACACTTTGAAGATTCGCTAAAATAATTGTTAATCACACAATTTGACATGGTTGACATTTTTTCATTTACACAATTTACAGCTTTAATAGTCATATTCTTTGAAAGTCACTTTATAACCTATAATATTTTAACTTTGTTAAAATCTGAAATTTAAAAATTACACCTTTACATAGTAATAAAACTATCAATGATGAATTTAGTTGAAATTTTGTACATAACTAGTATATCAAAATCTATAAGTATGAGCATTAAATTTTGATTTTGTATAGTTTTTGTTTTATATTTTGTACCGTGATTTTTTAATACTTACTTTTATCTGACTCGCAAATTTCGAAATTATAATCAAAAAATTTCTACATGAAAGTATATAGATAAATCAAATGTGACATTTACTTTTATCAGTAAATAAAAAAACTAAAAATTCTACGCCATTGATATACCCAATTAAAAATATGCAAAGAATATTTCGACAATTTCTTGTATTTTTTTGTAACTTTTTTTATGTGCCTGTATTATGGTAATAAGTATTATTATAGAGAATATTAACAGAAAAATTGTAAAAAAGTTTTATATGTGGTAAAAAAGAGGTGCTCTACGCGCAATGTCTCTCTGTGGTGCAGCAGTCTCGCATTGACTGGATGGTGATGGTCTGTATATTTGTGCAATTTGCTGTATAGCCTATCGGTCCTTGGGGTACAACCGCTTCTAAGTTTCGAAAAGAACTGTATCCAGGTTGTCACCGTTGGAAGCAAAAGGGCTGATTCTCCTCGCTAAAAATAATTAAAAATCTTGATATTTAATTATTTTAAAAAAATGATAAACATAAGAAACAGAAAATCTTTTTTGAATTATCATCTAAGCTATCTTTAAAAAAAATTATATCTTCACTCCACACGCAAAGGTTTCACCGCTTTCAACCATGTAGGCTGCAATTTATTTTATTTATTTTAGTATCCATCAGCAATCTTCCGTGTAAAATATTAAGGTATTTCATTTCCGTAGCATTGTATTAAAGAACTTACGAATATAATACGCAAGATTTTATGTTCTAAAGACTTCCAACAATGGAAAATATTTCCTGAATTGATTTTTGTGGACTTTTTTAAAACAAGGCCCTTTTAAAATATTTTAATTACTAAGTTTTTTTAGAAATTCTTGTCCCAATCTTGTGTTTCCTCCGGAATTTTGTAGATAATTTAAGAGAATGATTATAATTGAATGCCTACAATAGTCGAAAATAGTGTTCATATCTGTGGGTGTAACATAGTATGCTTCAAAAAGAAAGAGGTGAGGTGAGGTTTTATAAAATATGGGTGACAAACGAGCACACAGTCCATCTGATGGTAAGTGAATGCTGTGGCCCATAGACATATAGTTCTATCATCAATTAGGAATTAAAGTGCGGATGCGTTGTCCCTTGAGGACTAAGATGGAATGCCTCATTTCCAGTTATAAGGGTCTCCGGTTCTCTACACTCGCCGTACAAAACACTGCAGTATTAACCCTTTCCCTGTCCCATGAATTATATATGAACATTTAGATTGTTTAACTATTGTGTCCGTTTCGCGGAGAGGGAAACTGTTAAGCTGCTATGTTACGCTAGTATATTTTGAGGTCATTCCCCGAGTCGAGCAGACACTTTCGTAATACGGCAATATTGTTGAGCGCCACCATTAATGCCTGGTACATGGCAACAGTAGTTACCACTAGCGCCCTCTAGTATCGAATAGCAGAACTAGGAGAGTCAAGATCCTTCTAGAATTTTCCATGGAAGAACTTTCTAGAACTATCGATACCTAATCGAACATTCTAGATGTTTCTACTAAGGTCCTTACTTTCCTAAGGCCGGTATACACCGCGACCCTCGCAGTGTGGAGTTGGCGATACAAGCGAATACTTCGAAGCGATACTACTGCGAACTAGTGATCACAATGACAATTGTGTTTTGTTATTAGTGTGGTTTTAAGTTGTAATTAGTGTTCTGTAATTAAAGTATAAAATGTCTCGAAACCCAAACTCGTAACAACTAGGTGTCATAAATGGGATCAAGTCATGCCGATTTTATCTAAGGACGACACGGATGGTATTCATAACAGAAGACAACGCCAGCAGGAGACGCACCAGAGACCATTTGGTGGTGCAGCGCAGCAGACGTTGGAGGGCCAGATGCCGACCATGGAGGGCAGTCCGTCAGTAGCTCCTGCATCTGCAGCACCTGACTTAGGTGTTCTGATGATGATGCTGCAGGAGCAGGCCCGTCTCTTGGAAAAGCAGCTGCAGCGTGGTCAGGAAGAGCAGACGCTCCTCATGAAGGATCTTCACGCTACCTTCGGGAAAGAGATAAGGGAGGTGAAGGATAGAGTTGCTCAACATGACAACCGCCTGTCGGAAGCTGAAACCCGAATCTACCAAGTGAACAATCGGGTTGACAACGTGATGGCTTACGTGAAGAAAACGATGGATGACCTCAAAGTTGGGAATGGAATTACAGCTCCCGTGGTAGCTACAACACCTTCGCCACGTGGATTTAAAGTGCCGCCGTTCGACAGGATCACTTCCTGGTCAGCCTACAAAATTCAGTTCGAGGCTGTCATGAAGGCGAATGACTGGAATAAAAGTCAGGCCATAAATACGCTCACCCTAGGCCTGCGCGACCAGGCCTTTACTGTTTTGGAAACTTTCGATAAGGAGGTGACTTACGAGCAGCCCCTTGAGGCATTCGAGGCAAGATATGGCGACGTTCACCTGGAACACGTCTTTCGAGCGCAGCTCAAAGATCGTGTGTAACGCAGCTACGAAAACCTGGAACCTGGTGCAGACATTCATCGACGACATCCGTGACCTTGAAGTCAGAGCTGCTGTGAGGCTCGGGCACAACGAGACGCTTAAGGACGCCTTGGCTCATGTACTGGAGTTGGAAGCGGTGCGGCAGGATCATCCTTCCCATCGCGTCAGGGAGGTTGTAGCAGCTACCGTTTGCAACCGAAATAAAGGATAGAGTCCTAATTGCTACGGCTGTGGAAAAAGAGGCCATCTTCCATCCAGCTGCCATTTGCAAATGGTTGTCCCTAAAACTAAAGTATCGGATACACCTGTACCATAATGGTTGGTCAGGAGGCCATCTGGGAGTTAAACGAACTCTACTGAAGATCCGAGAACGATTTTACTGGATCCACTGTTGTGACGATGTCGAGGACTGATGTCGCACATGTACAAGTTGTGCGGCTGTAAAGAGAACTCAGACCCGTAGTAGAGGTGCATTGAAATTGTACAATGTTGGTGCACTATAGGATAGGATAGCCCTTGACGTTGTGGGGCCATTTCCAGAAAGTGAAAATGGTTACAAGTATTTCATTCTTCGATATTCCAAATCAAGAAGCTTCAACAGTTGCAGATAAACTAGTTCATGAAATCTTTTGTCGTTTTGGAGTACCTTTAGAGATTCACAGCGATCAAGGAAGGAATTTCGAGTCTCAAATATTCCAGGAAATCAGGAGTTATGGGTACTCATAAAACAAGAACAACTTCTTACCTCCCACAATCTGATGGAATGGTAGAACGATTTAATCAGACATTGAAGAGGTAATATACGTGGTAGAGCCATGCTACAGCTATATTAGTAGTATAGTTGTAGCACAAATGGGTCGCCTCGACCGAGGAAGGACCACGCTCTCACAGAAACCAGCGTAAAATGGCAGCTTGACACTGCTGTGTTTCATATGGTGAGTGTAGAGAAGGAGAGAACCATTTTACTGGAAAACAGGTATTCCATCTTAATCCCCACGTGTGACAACGTATCTGCATTTTGATTCTTTATTGAGGATAAATGTAGATGTCTATAGGTCACAACAACCACTAACCATCAGGTCAGACAATCGGGCCAGCAAATAATTTATTACAATATTTTGTTTCCCTAAAAACACGCAAGATTTATATATAAATATACTTATACGTCTTGGACTGTATAGATCTGGAAGTGTACTTCGGTGACTGCTACTGGAACTCTTTGACGAAGAGAACTAGATGTGCAGAGATTGAGCTCGTTTTGTTAGTTATGATGAGACCTTATCTCCGAACTTGATAGAGTGACTTGAAAGTGTATTTTGATGACTGCTACTGGAACCCCTCGACTATGAGAATTAGATGTGCCGAGTTTGGACTCGTTTTGTTAATTATGATGAGACCTTACCTCCGGACTGGATAGAGTGTCTTGAAAGTGTACTTTGAAGCCTGCCACTGGAACTCCTCGACGAGAAGAACTAGATGTGCCAAGTTTGGGCTCGTTTTGTGAGTTATGATGAGCCCTTACATCCGGACTTGATAGAGTGACTTGAAAGTGTACTTAGACGACTGCTTCTGGAACTACTCGATGAGGAGAATTAGATGTGCCGAGTTTGTCCTCTTTCTGTTAGTTATGATGAGACCTTACCTCCGTACTTGATAGAGTGACTTGAAAGTGTATTTTGATGACTGTTACTGGAACTCCTCGACGAGGAGAACTAGATATGCCGAGTTGGACTCATTTTGTTAGTTATGATGAGACCTTATCTTCGAACTTGATAAAGTGACTTGAAAGTGTATTTTGATGACTGCCACTGGAACTTCTCGACGAGGAGAACTAGATGTGCCAAGTTTGGGCTCGTTTTGTTAGTTATGATGAGATCTTACCTCCGGACTTGATAGAGTGACTTGAAAGTGTACTTTGATGACTGCTTCTGAAACTCCTCGATGAGGAGAACTAGATGTGCCGAGTTTGGCCTCGTTTTGTTACTTATGATGAGCCCTTACCCCTGGACTTGATAGAGTGATTTGAAAGTGTACTTTGATGACTTCTACTGGAACTCCTCTACGAGGATAACTAGATGTGCCGAGTTTGACCTCATTTTGTTAGTTATGATGAGACCTTACCTCCAGACTTGATAGAGACACTAGAAAGTGTACTTCAGTGATTGCTACTGGAACTCTTTGACGAATAGAACTACAATTTACATTTTTTTAATTTTTTCACAATCATATGAGTATTACAAGTCGTGCATATTTGGATTTTCCAAGTTTCTTTTTTACATTGAAATTTGACATAATATTATCGTTAACGCAATTTAAAGCCCCTAGAATTCCTAGCTCTAACCTTCTTAACCTAACACAAAATCCTCTGCAATCAGTCAACCAGGTCAATAGCTTCTTTTCGGAAATAGGTAAATCTCTCGCCGAAGCTATTATCAATGGTGGAAACAACCAAACCTTAACTAACTCAGTTATTTCTGACTCTCATGTCACTTCATTTGTCTTATTAAATACAGATCCAGCAGAAGTAGAGAGCACACTTATGACCTTAAATTCAAATAGCGCAATAGGATGGGATAACATATCGACTAATTTTCTTAAGAAGTCTAAAAATATTGTCGCTACTGCAATTAGTAATTTAATAAACTTAAGCTTCGGAAAGGGTATATTTCCGGAGGCCTTAAAAAAATCTATAATCACACCCGTATATAAGAGTGGAAACAGAGATGAAGTAACAAATTATAGACCAATATCAGTATTAACGTCAATTTCAAAAATTATGGAGAAAATGTTAAATAAAAGACTAGTAAGTTATCTTAATAAATTCAACTTAATTTCAAAGTCACAGTATGGTTTTCGTCACGGCTTATCCACTGAAGATGCTGTTGGGGATCTTACTAAAGTCATTGTAAGGGAAATCGATAAAAATAAAAAATGTATAACAGTATTTTTGGATATAAAGAAAGCTTTTGATACAGTTTCCGTACCCATAATGCTAAAAAGACTAGAAAACATTGGTTTAAGGGATAAAACTCTCTCTCTCTCTTTGGTAGCTACCTTAGAAACAGAAAACAGTCGGTAAAAATTGGAACAACTGTAAGTAAAACTGTAACTGTCAACTATAGAGTCCCCCAAGGAAGTGTGATGGGCCCAACTCTGTTTTTGATATACATTAATGAACTGTGTAATATGAAACTTTATAATGGGCAGATTTTTTAATGTTGAATGATGTTTGTAAAAACCTGAACCGGTGATTAAATATATAGATAAACTCCTAGGGGAAAATGGACATACAGTGAACTACCACCCCATCATTGTGATCTGAACTCCATTGAATTGGATTGGGCAATGGTAAAAAGGCGAATCGCATAAAGAAAGTTTGTGGTCAAGATGTTGCGAAGTTTGCTACAGAAGCATTTCAATCAATAACTCAACAATAGTGAAAAAATTGTGTTGACCATGTCATCAAAAGAGAAAATGAATATTTTACCCGTGGAGCCTCTCTGTATAATGATATAGACAAACTGTCATCTCAGTAAGCGATTATAGTTCCAGTGAATCTGAAGAGTCAGAAATGGACCAATTTAATTACGCAGGAACTTCAGGCAACATTTCAGGAGTTGAATATCTCGATTCAGATTATTTGGACTCAGATTCATAATCAAAATATAACTATGTATCAACATTTTTTTTGCACCTTGGGTGTCTGCTGTCTGTCAAGGCTGGTCTTCTCTAAAACCTGCTTTCCTTAATTACTTGTAGGATACACAGTCAAATTATCTCAATTATTAAGTATGTGAATTTAGCTAATTACTATTGATGGGATTTACAAGGGTCAAGGGTTATGTATACCAATAACAGCATGTACTTGAAAAAATATGACAGTAAAGGGACCATAATTTTAAATAAGTGTATAAAATAAAATAAGAAGATTCAAAACGTTTCGGTTGAAGTCTATAGGGATGCCGTATAAACGATAGTGGCGCCCTCCTTTTATTTCATGAGTTTCTTGACAGACTGTACTATGAAGGATAATTATACATACCCTATATAGTATATTATCTATGATTATACATTTGAACTTCAGGCTCAGAAGGGCTAGAATTTAGAACCCAGAGCCGTAAAGATAGTTATAAAAAAGATGAAAGTGTCAATTTGTTGATAAATAATCTCAGTGAAATAACCTGCCGATTTCAAAAAAAAAATATTAACTAAACTTAAGTACTCCTTAAACTTGAATTAGTTTTACTCAAAGAGTATAGTAACTGTCCTAGTTTTACTCGTATAAAGGAAATATGTCGTTAGAGCAACAGCAACAAGTTATACAATATGTACCGTTTACATCTTTCGTGCACCCATCTTTTTGGCACAGTCTTACAGACATAAAATTAAACGTTGATAAGTTAAATGAAAGCACAAAGCAAATATACGGCCGTTTTACTTACCGTGATGACATCGGTACTGTGTTCGAAGTCGATGGTACTTCATTTAATAAGTAAGCTTAGACGCAGAATTATGTTATACCCAGCTTAGGCTTTGTTTACCTTTGTACAACAAACACAGACAGTGTAACAAGTACAGAAAGCAATTTTATTTGTATTTTACATATTGTTGTTTTATATCGGATGCCTATGACTGCATGACTTGAATGGTCAGAATGCAGTCTTATGTTCCTATGATCGAATTCTTTCTAATTTTAGTCAAGAGATCTAGCTATAAAACAGTGCTCTATAGTTTAATTTTTTTTTGATAACTATTTAAAAATCGTTAGTAGGAATGTATATGAGATAGTTTGACGGAAGAGTAGAGTGATGTTTGATTTGGTCCATAGAAGTGGAACTGATTCTGTTTGTAGGATTTAGTTTAACATGTTTACTAAAATGTCCTTCGATTAAAAAGTTATTCTATTTGGACCTCTTCCTTGTCCTTTTTCAGTAAATTAATTGCTATTTCTATATCATTATTAAAATTTTCAGGTAATATCCAGTTGTAATTTAGTGTTGTTTCTTCTGCCAAGAAAGTGTTTCCATGCAAATCTGAGTAAAAATCTGTAGCAATTTTAAGTATGTGTCGTCTGTATCCTTCATTTGTAGAACCTAATCTTTTTGCTTTTCTGACTCCACATGTTTATATTATTTATTTATTTTCAATTATTTTGATACAATGCTCTTTCCTGTCCCTCCTTATACTTTTGTGTATCTCCTTACTTAACTCTGAAAATTTCTTTCTCTTTTACATAGCCTCTGGGAGATCTATGATGTTGCTTCTTTTTTCTAGAAGAGATGTTGTTTCTTTAGACGGGCAATTTTTGCTTCTGTGAGAACTTGTAGATGTGGATTTTAACAACGTTTCTAAAAGATTTTCTAATTTGGTGGATTTTTCATTATTAGAGGATTTCCTGCTTTTAAGTTTTGTAAAAGTTTCTTTAGTGGCTTGCTGTTAAGTCTTATTATTGGTTGGAGTTGCCTCTTTGGTCTTGAGTTTTTGAACTGGCACAACTTTAATTCTGCTCTGACTATCCGATTATTTATATCAGTGAAGTATTTCAGGTGGTTGGATTAAATCAATTTCTTTCTTGTTGTTGAAATCTGGTGATATCCATGTTCATTTTTATTTAGGTATTTTTCTTAAAGAAGCTGTTGGGCCCTAGGATAAAATCCTTCTGAGTTTTCTCGTGCAGATGCAGATGCACATTGAAGAACAAAATTTTTGTATGTTTCCTAATGGTTGAGTTTAAATCATTGTAAAATTTCTCTTTATCTTCTTTAATTGCTTGTTTAGTAGAGTCATAGATTTGAATAATTGGCTAGTTGTCCCCAAATGGTATTTTGTTTGAGATTCCAAAGATTTCTTTAACTTGCTATACTATTTTTTTAAGAACCCTACTCATTTCTCTTTGTAATTTTCCCTTTATAGTATAAAAAGAGGAAGTTTTGATTTTCTAACTGTTCCCCAATCCTTCTCATTTCGTTGAGGGCTAGGAATTGTTCCAAGAATTGTTTTACATTCATTCTCATTTTTAGACATTTAGGACTAATGTTAAATTGACTGTTGCAATCTTCTTAGCGGTGGCACATAACGTAAATCATACAGAACCTTCAAATTAATTGTAGGTTTTTTACTGTTGAGCCTAATTTTTACACTTAGTATGACTCTGAGGAACACTATTTTCTTATTACTTAGCATCTTGGAGGTAATTTAACTAATTTTATCGATTTTTATAGAAAGAGGTGACATGTTCATTGTGGTCCTAAATAATTTGGATTGGTTCTAGGATATTTGATTTTGGTTTATATTTATTTTATAAATCAGCTGATACCAGCGACTTTGTCCCCATTGCTTGATATATTAACAAAGTTTTTGATCTTCTCCGTGGCCAGAAAACACACTTCACTGAACATGTAGTGCTTATAAAAATTGTTGTTGCTTAAAACTTTAATAACTTTATATTAAATGAAGATATGGCAATAATTTTTTTTAGATAAGGGCCAAGTGTCTCAGAAATAAAACTTAGAAAACCTAATTGAAATCTATCCAGTACTTTTTTTGTGATGCATACACAACTGTAAACCTCTACTATTTTATTTATATTAGTGACACACCTTAATATATATTTTTTTGCATTACAAGGGTACCTGAGACAGAGCAAATGTATTACAATGTCACTGGAACAATAATGAACAAAAACACAATTGAGGATTTTAAAAATATTGATAAAGCAGCACTACTTAACAGCATTGGTGAAATTATATGGCCAAATATTAAAAGAAAAACTTGGATCTCCAATCCTAATAGTTTATTAAGTTTCATTATTTTATCTTTTGCGGTAAGAATGTTTTACTTCATTTTATGCTTTAAAAGTCACTACACTACATTCATAATTTTTTTGTACATTATGCATGTTATTTGATTAGATCTTGTAAAGATTTGCTCATGGATATAAATAAGACTTATCCATATTGAGAGATTGGCCTTAATTGCCATGTTTTGCAATTCCCATGTACCATAATACTGTTACCTATATTTGACCATACCTACTAGTTCAACCATGCTTTTGGTCATGATAAGTTTTTTGTTTTTTTTTTATAGGAGAGGGGGCAAACGAGCATGCGGCTCACCTGATGGTAAGTGACTACCGCCGCCTATGAACAACTGCAACACCAAGGAGAGAATTGCAGATGCGTTGCCAGTATCATGATAAGTCGTGTCTGTTTCTTGGGTCAAGGTCTGCTAGGCACTTAAAACGGTTCTGGTTCGAGTTTACAAATACTGCCACTTCTAATACATATATACAAGGAACAGTTAATATTTTATATTGTTTAAAATTTGCTTGCAACTCTTGGTACTCTTCAACTTAAAGATGGAGTGTATACACCTTTTTTTGGCTGTGAATACATTTCCTTTGTAACTATAAGTGATGTTGCAGTGCTTGAACATTTATGAATATAAAATAATTGAAATGAAAAGTTGATACAATCTATGTTATTTTATTATATGAGTAGTATTCATATATTCTCATAAATATGTCTTTGAAACTTTTTTAATCAGACAGCATGCAAGTTCTATAAATGTTGTTTCAAATAAATTTGTTAAATAATTTTATGAAAACTTAATTTTTTTATTATTTCAATTAGTCAATAATCAAATATCTTAACTCATATCTTAAATGATTTTAGACCTAAACAAGTACCAGTGTCAGAAGCATGTAATTCATAATTAAACTATGAGCATTTTTCAACAGGATCTCAAAAAATTTTATTACTATTATTGGTTTGCATTTCCTTGCCCTAGTCAACCTACTGTATACCTGATAGACAAAAGTCAGCCTATCTCAACAGTTTTTAGTAATAAGCAGCTGGAAGAATTGTCTGTGGGTTTCAAATCATTAGATATAGAACAAAAATGCTTTTTTGCAATAACCAAGGAAGGTGAAAGCATATATGTCAAACCAATGTCCAAGATTCTTGACCCGAATAAACCCACACAAAATGCAATAGATATCGATGTGGTGTTTGCATTTATTGATCCCAGTAATGGACCAAATCCAGGATGGCCTTTAAGATTGTTTATAGCAGCTTTATTAGACCACTGTCCTAGCCTAAGTGGTACAGATGTAACAATTATTGGTATTCGAAGCAGTGGAAGTGGAACTTTAAATAACAGCAATGTTTACACAATTGCAATACCCCAGGTGTGTATTTGATTACATTGATTTTATTAAAAATAGTGATGTACATTCTGTAAATACTAAGAACAAGCACAAGTTAGTTATACTAGTTACTCGACTCCAAAGAGTCAGTAATTTCTTTATGGGGCAATGTATACACTTTTGCAAGTCCCAGAAAATATGGAAGACTTATTTATCGAAAAGTTTAGTTTCTTTATTATTACATTATTATACTATTAAAGAGTACATTGATAATAACCTCTAAGAATGAGGTGATCGCTACCATGCTGTTTTAAATTTTTCATACTAATTGTATAAAATATTGTATTGTAAATTAATTTTTGTTTTAAAAGTCCCGCTGGGTTTTCTTGCTGGTTTTGCCCAGGACAAAGGTTTTTTTCTGAACCAGTGATAAAGCTTAAATGACTATAAATAAGTGTTCTATTGTATTTTATTATTAATGAGACCATACTTACATTTATTTAATTATCAAATGATAGAATTGTATAGATGATTTTATTTAAAACTATTAATATATGTTATGCTGAACGAAATTACAATAATTTGTTTCTCTCTTGCCTCAATGATTCACAATTACAGAATAATGTAATTGTCTATGTGTATGAGATACAAAAGAAAGATATAAATACTCCCAACCATTTAGCGCTGGCGGCTGTGAGTTTGAATCCCGCACGGAACAGGTATTTGTATGGCCTACAAATAATTGTTCCGCATCTGGATGTTTGTCCTCGTGCAATTTATGTTTGTAAACTGCCTCCACGATACAGGAGAAAATCCTAGTGTGGTGGTAAGGTTTTTAAAAAAATAACACAAAAAAAGGTTTGGTGCTTAAAACTCGTACTACGCCTACTAGACCGTTCCATCACTGACCAACACCGTAGCGTGTCATAACCAACACCGAAGCGTGTCATGACCAAAACTGTAGTGTGTCATGACCAACACCGTAGCCTGTCATGACTAACACCATAGCGTGTCATGACCAACACCGTAGCGTGTCATGAGAAACACCGTAGCGTGTTATGAAAAACACCGTAGCGTGTCATGACCAACACCGTAGCATGTCATGACCAAAACCGTAGCGTGTCATGACGACGAAAATTTTTGGCGATACGCTCCATACGTAGCACGCGACGTTATAAAAGCGCTCTGTGCAGATGACCAAGCGCGTTGTAACCGCGTGTGTTCACCGTTGTCTAAAATAATATATTAACCACCGTATAATTAACATACAGTAGGGCAACGCCTTTGATCTCGTGGTAAATGCCGATAACGTCTAGACAGCGTATGGAGGCTAGGGTTGTCACAAATTAACAACTTTTACTAATTTAATTATTTATTTTAGATCTACATCGTCATCAACAGTATGATTACTAATATAAAAATAAGTAACAATTTGATTTTTCCTGAAAATACTCAAAACGTTAATTGCACGCCTCACAACGTGAGGGAGTGCTCTACTCTCGATATGTGGCCATACCTCAATTTCGCTACATAAAATCGTTGTTATACTCTTAGCTAGACATCAAATCCATATTATTATTAACGTTACAATGACTACAGACATTGAATTATTAGTTTATTTTATAATTGATTCTTTAGGCTTTCGAAAGTTCTTCCAACTAAATCAGGTCTTCCAATAACTTCCATCCGTAATTTGCATCTGAAATTTTTAAATACAATACTTGTTAATAAATTTTCATAATTATCACCCCCAGAAACCTTAAAATTGACATCCATATTGTATTATAAAAAAATTCACCATTTCGGATATGAAAATTGATGCCGTTTTCGTCATTGGCACCCCAAGAAACCTCGAAATTGACATCCATAACATTAAAAAAATATGTCCACCATCTTGGGTTTAAAAATGAATTCCATTTTCGTAATCAGCACCACAAGAAACCTCGAAATTGATACCCATATCATATTCCTAAAAAATTGTCCGCCATCTTGGATATAAAAATGGATGCCATTTTCGTAATTATCACCCCAATAAACCTTGAAATTGACATCCATATCATACATATATTAAAAAATGACCGCCATCTTGGATTTAAAGATAAATGCTATTTTCGTAATTAGCACCCCGACAAACCTAATAATTGACCCCTAAATCTTAATATTTTATAAAAAACCTTCGAACAACCGAAGACGAGGCACTATAGTATTAGATGAAGAAAAAAATCAAACTTCGAAACAGTAATGCCTAGCGACTAGTACCTATTTTTTACGTCCGCAATTTTTTTTACGTTGGCAATTTGGCATGACATGACAAAATATGCATAATGTAAAAAATAATACCAATATATATTTACCTTTCTTCCGTGTGCGGAATTCGGTGATATCGCAGATCTTTATTTATGCGAGATGACGACTTGCAATCTCTCACAACACACGTCGTATGAACCATTTTAATTATAAGTATCAACAGTAAATTTAAAAATTATAAAAGAAAACGCGCGTTAACCCTGGAGGTTGTGTCCCGAGCTACTAATACGTTTGGCATGAGCAGCTCGGGCTCGTCCTTTCCGCGTCTCACCCCTCACACCCCGCACGATGCCCTGTCTAGACGTCTTCGTCGGACGACTGTATGGATTTATAGACCGTGGTATAGGTTTCTATTTAAATTAAATAGTTACAGAACAAAAACACAAATTTCGCCCTTACAGCTCAGCTGACACGAAAACGCAGACAAAATAAGCTACAACCGATAGAACGGGTATAGTCGTACATATAACGAAGAACGGGTATAGTATACCTATTGAACGGGGATTTTTACAATCACAATGCGTTGTACAACGGTATGCTACGTTCTAGTGGGCGTAGTAGTGGCTGTCGTCTTTATTTTTCTTGTCTGATACATTCGTAGCATGAACCGTTCTAGTGGGCTGAGGCATATATTACCTAATAGGGTAAGATACTTTATGAAATTCTTGTCTAATTGTCATTAACATAAACATAATTAATTTACATAAACAAAACATTTATAAAATAAATGGTCTTTCAAATAAAAATCTTAAATATAAACAAAGCCACATGAAAACAGGGCAGGTAGCTAGTACATAATATACACTGTCAAATTGACTAGTAAACAACGTGGGTTTTTAGCTAATAACGAATAAACAAGATGCCTTTTGGACATTATGATTTATTCTGAAGTGTTTAATTTCAGAATTTACAAAAAGTAGATAGTTCAGGTTGGGTTGGTTGGGAAAGAAATGACAAGGGTAATTTTGGTCCCAAGCTCGCCAATATGTCTGCATCGATGGATCCCATCAAGTAAGCGAAGTGATTTAATATGTTATTTATTTGGTATACTTAATATATTTTGTATGGCTTAATCTTCAGATAATTTGACAACGCATCTGATTTTGAGTCTTTATTGAGGATAGATGTAGATGTCTATGGACTACAGCAACCACTTACTATCAGGTGGACTGTGTGCTCGTTTGTCACCCTATCCTATAAAAAAAATTTCAAACCCTGCCAGAACCAACTTTTTTGTGCAAAATTAAATTGTTTATGATGTGGTTATCTTTGTGCTCGTATTGACGCTGTATCCTCTTTACATAGGGAAAAGCCTACCCGGGAAGACGGTTTATGTCGCACCAACTAAAACCCTATGGTGTTCCAACTTCACCACATATTAACAGGGCAACTAAATGATACTATAGTCTACTTAAGTTAGAGCAAGTGAATACCTCTGTTTTAACGCATGCAGTTATGGCACTGCGATATCTCTTATAATTAATTTAATTGCATTTCTATTGCCTAGAACAAACGTAAAACAATATGTTTAAGGTTTGTACGCCACTTGGGAGGCCTCCAACTCTTTACTACTTTGCCACTAACATTCGTATCTACAAATTAAATCGTTTTCAATTGCAATTAAATAAAATATATTGAAATTTTAATTAATTTACCACGTGCTCGGCGGTGAAGGTAAACATCGCGGGAACCCTGCATGTCTTAAAAAAATATATTTTGAAAACATGTGAAGTCCGCCGACACGCATTAGGGTAGCGAGGCGGACTCTTCCTTGCCCTAAAACTCTCTCAGAAGTGAGAGGAGGCCAGTGCCCAGCTGTGGGACGTATATAGGCTGTAACTTTACTTTTACATTTTTATAGCAAAATTTTGAGACGTGATCTTATTTTTGAATAAACAAAAATACTGTACGTGTTATACAAATAGCCTTGTGTTACACAGATTGGCCGATTCATCATCAGACTTAAATATCAAATTAATGAAGTGGAGATTGGTGCCGGATATTGACGTGGAGGTGATGAAGCACACCAAATGCCTGTTACTTGGAGCTGGAACACTTGGATGCCAAGTAGCTCGCGATCTCTTGGTATGGTTTTGAATATAAGAATTATATATAGTATAAGGGTGACAAACGTGCACACAGTCCACCGGATGTTAAGTGATGGTAAAATGCTGTGGTTCGTAGACATCTACATCTATCCTCAATTAAGAATCAAAATGCAGATGCGTTGTCACCCCTGAGGACTGAGATGGTACGCCTCATTTCCAGTAAAAAGGGTCTGCAGTTCTCTACACTCATTATACAAAACACAGCAGCAATAGGCTGCTATTTTAGGTTGGTATTCTATAAGAGCGTGGTAATACCCCGGTCGAGCCGTCCCATTCGTACTGGAACCATAATATGGCTGCAGCATAGTCCTGCTACATAACAATATATGAATCCGCACATTAACAGGTCCCCTTCCATTACGAAAATGAAGTCATTTTTACCTCTTGTATTACAATTCTATATATTACATCATCATCATCATCATCATCAACACCATCGTCATCATCATCATAATCAGCATCACAGTCCACTGCTGAACGCAGGTCCCCAAGGAATGCCACTAAACAAGGTTCTGAGGCACCTGCATCCATCGACTTCAGTTCAGTTAAAATAATTCATTACCCCTGCATTTTGAATTTAAAAGATAAAAAGGACAGAATGTTTGAGATTATTTTAGTTAATTTTTCTTCACCATTTGCCTATATTACTTATTCTGAACCTTCTCTGCAAATTTGGCCGGTAATTGCAAAATAACCCTGTATTTAAACTAAAGTTTAAAATTTAGCTACTTTTTGAAAAATAACCCGTATACAGAGATTCTGAACTTAAAGTGTTTATTCTTCTTCATCTGGCCTTAAAAGTCCACTGCTAGATATCGGTCTCTGCCGTTGTAGAAAGAATTTGCTAAAATCACTTGACAGACAAATTGGCCTTACCAGATGTTCGCACCTTATGGCTCTTTCTGACTGAATTGAGACGGTGGATTCTTTTACGTCATTGCACACGAAACCTGTTGTAGAGAGCCTGCGTCATTTGTAGACATAACTTTCCTAAATCCAAATAGATTTAATTACCTATTTTGAATGTGTAAATTTTTATTTCTCTTTGCATGTTTGGTTCGTTAAAGACTTTAATTCCAATAAATAAAGCTTTAAATTATAAAGATATTATTTTATTGTCATGTAGGTATATTTCATTTTAATTTATATTCATCCTACTTATAATAAATAACAAATAAATATATCTAATATATCTACTACTATAAAGCACGAGAGTAGAATAAATGTTGTAGAAATGCGGTCATTAAGGAGTATGCTAGGGCTGAATCTGAATGACAGGGTGAGAAATTGTGTGATAAGAGAAAAGTGTGGTTTGCAAGATGACGTTGTGACGATATTTGGGATGCGGTCTTTTTTTGCATCCTACCCTTGGGGGCGGGTTTGCTTCTCGCCGGAAGATCCCAGCGTTGTTGCCGATTCTGTTGCTGATGTGGTACTTCAGGGTATGGAACTTTTTATTCCATCCTCTGTGGTGCCCATCGGAGGCAGATCCCAGCCATGGTTTGGTCGCGCCTGTAAAATAGCATCACGCTATAAGCAGAAGTGCTACCGGGCCTGGGCTGACGCATCAACGTCTCGGGATTTAAACACCAGCGCACTTAAAAAGAAGTATAATTCCGCCTCCAGGTCCTTCAAAAGCGTCATTGCCAAGGCAAGGTCTGAGCACATCGGCAGAATTGGCGAGAAGCTAGTTCGCCTTCCTTCGGGAACTCGTGCATTCTGGTCTCTCGCCAAGGCTGTCCAAGGGAACTTCTGTCAGCCATCCCTTCCATCTCTGCACAGAGAGGACGACTCACTGGCCCATGCCGCAAAAGAGAAAGCCGATCTGTTGTGCTCTCTTTTTGCGTCTAACTCGACTCTAGATGACGGGGGGAACACACCGCCGACCATCCCGCGATGTGAGTGCTCCATGCCGGATGTGCGATTTACACAGCGCTCGGTTCGCAAAGCACTCTTCTCCCTGGACGTCAGCAAGTCGAGTGGGCCCGATGAAGTCCCTCCCATTGTGCTGAAGACGTGTGCTCCGGAGTTGGCACCGGTTTTAACGCGTCTTTTCCGGTACTCCTACTCCCAAGGCGTAGTCCCGAATTCATGGAAGACAGCTTTGGTCCACCCGATCCCTGAAAAAGGCGACCGCTCAGACCCGTCCAACTACAGGCCTATCGCCATCACCTCCTTGTTCTCCAAAATAATGGAGTCCATTATAAACTGCCAGCTCATGAGGTACCTTGAGGATCACCAGCTGATCAGTGACCGTCAGTACGGTTTTCGTCGGGGTCGATCAGCAGGTGATCTTTTAGTTTACTTAACTCATAGATGGGCGGAGGCAGTAGAGTCCAAGGGGGAGGCATTGGCTGTTAGTTTGGACATAGCGAAGGCCTTCGATCGGGTCTGGCACAAGGCGCTTCTTTCGAAGCTTCCTTCCTATGGGCTTCCCGAGAAATTGTGCAAATGGATCACCAGTTTCCTTGCTGATCGGAGCATCAAGGTCGTAGTGGACGGTGCATGCTCTGATTTCAAGCCTATCAACGCTGGTGTTCCACAAGGCTGCGTGCTATCACCAACGCTGTTTCTCCTGCATATCAATGATATGTTGCTAACTGGTAGCATTCATTGCTATGCAGACAGCACTGGGGATGCCTTATATACCGGCCGTGCCAATATTTCTCGGGAAAACGTCTCCGAGTACCGGGACAAACTTGTGTCTGAAGTCGAGTCTTTGCTTAACAAAGTCTCGGATTGGGGCCGACTAAATCTAGTCCAGTTCAATCCCCAGAAGACACAAGTTTGCGCGTTTACCGCTAAAAAGAACCCCTTTGTTGTATCTCCTCAGTTTCAAGGCACTCCCCTTGCTGCCTCAGCCAGTATCGGAATCCTTGGCGTCGACATATCGAATAGCGTGCAGTTTCGTGGTCACTTGGAAGGGAAGGCCAAATTGGCCTCTAAAAAGCTTGGCGTGCTCAGCAAAGCGAGACAGTATTTCATGTCGGCACATCGCTTGCAACTTTACAAAGCGCAAGTTCGGCCCCACTGTTCTCATCTCTGGGCCAGGGCACCCCAGTGCCAGCTCCTTCCACTTGACCGCATCCAGTGCAGAGCGATTCGAATCGTCGACGACCGAGTTCTTTCCGATCGGCTCGATACACTGGCACTGCGTAGAGATGTTGCATCTCTTTGCGTATTTTATCGCATCTATCACGGGGAGTGCTCTGAGGAATTGTTCGGACTAATTCCAGCCGCTCAGTTTCACTATCGTACATCGCGACAAAACTCGCGTTACCATCCATACCATCTGGATGATTGGCGGTCCACCACTGTGCGATTTAGAAGAAGTTTTCTCCCTCGCACAACTTCCTTGTGGAATCAATTACCACCAGCGAATTTTCCGAACCGATACGACTTAGGAACCTTCAAGAAAAGAGCTTACACCTTTCTAAAAGGCCGGCAACGCATCTGCAATTCCCCTGGTGTTGCGGTTGTTCATGGGCGGCGGTAGTCACTTACCATCAGGTGAGCCGCATGCTCGTTTGCCCCCTATTCTATAAAAAAAAAGACAATGCAAATTTATTCTGCAGAAGTGAACGGCAGAGTCGGGAAGGGACGCCCTAGACGAAGGTTTATCGACCAAATTGGCGATATATTGAAAATGGGCCAGATTAGGAGTACCCTTAATCGACGAGCGTATACGTAGATATATGGATGTAAAGGATGCGAGAGAGGTGTGTGAAGTCCGTAATCTCTGCCTCCCCTCTGGGTGACAGGCGTGAGTGTTTATGTATACTTTATGGTATGTAATGGCCTTTGTTCGCGATTTGAATGACTGACCTGAATGACCCAGTATAAGTTGCGGCATGAAAGTCTAGCGGTGACCGTTACTGCGCATAAGTCGAAAATAAGGTATCATGGGGTAGTAAGCGACTCGCGGGGTGGGCGTGCGTCGTTCGCACGCGCTGATTGGCTCGTGCGTATCGTTCGCACGCGCTTATTGGCTCTACAGACGCATTCGTGCAATTCAATTCGTGCGCGACAGTACCCATGCGCAGCTATCCCCTCCACGTTTTGTTCAGCGCTAGACTTACGTGCCGCTAATTGTACGTAGTGTTAACCCCCACCACTTTTCGTCACACAAAAGGTTTGCGGATCAGTATTTCAAACCCCTTTCGTAAAAAGTTTCAGTACAAAAAATATTTTATTTTTTCTTTACACATAAAATTTTTCTACTTCTCGAGAATATATCCGCCAGACGCAAGAATTCTCTGGGTCCATGAAATTAAAAATGTCTTTAAATGATATTAATAATATATTATACCATATTTACAGGCTTGGGGTTTTCGTCACATAACTTTCATAGACAATGGTAAAGTTTCGTATTCGAATCCAACGCGTCAAGTGCTGTTTAACCATCGGGATTGTCTTGACGGTGGTCGTAAGAAAGCTGAAGCTGCAGCCCAAAATTTAAAATTAATTTTGCCCACAGTTGTAAGTACTACATATTTTATATAAACATATTTAAACAACGATTTTTATAACGATTAATAGGACGTTCGCTGTGTTAAGTAGAATCCCGCGCCTTGATCCCGTCGGAGATGTACGCAGTGAGCTTCATCCCGTGCGACCTTCGCACCCGCCGCAGAATCCTCGATTATTTGACCTTGCTTGTGTGCAGTCGTGCCAACATAATGGATTATCTATTAATTGATTTTTCTTCGTCTTTAGAATTTATTTGCCACATCCCATGTTAGGAGCCGTGGTAGCTCAGATGGTTAGCGCTCGCTGTAAATTTAACAGTACGCGAGCAAACCGGGTCCGATCCCCGCCGGCACCAATGAAATTGTTAATTGCAATTTTAAGTGCTGATTTACCACGTGCTCGGCGGTGAAGGAAAACATCGTGAGGAAACCTGCATGTCTGAGAAATAAGAAAACAAGTATTTCGAAGACATGTTGAAATTCGCCAACATGCATTAGGGCTGCGCGGCGGACACTTCCTTGCCCTAAAATCCTCTCAGAAGTGACACTTCACACTTTTTATCCCATGTTACGTATACATTTCCATACTAATTGTATAAAATAATATATTGTAAATTAATTTTATCAAAAAAAAATCCCGCTAAGTTTCTTGCTAGTTCTTCCCAAGACAGATGTATTTCCAAACCAGTCGTATAGCTTGAATGACTTTCAATATAAGTATTCTTGTATAATGAATAAAAATGATTACATTCTATTCTGTATATTATCTCATATTTCAAAGTATTGAAGTACTTTTCTTTCATTGCGAACATCGATTTGGAACGGGTTTATATGCTCGTAATTTGGGATATAGCAAATTAATGCTATAAAGACGAGTGTAATTTTAAGGCGGCAGCCCACGACACGCAGTGGCGCTCCTTTGTATGAAATACTCTTCAAGAATATGGAATTAATTTAACTGCTTTAATTAGATTACTCACTTAAGATATCCATATTAAACAACTGATTACATTAATCACATACCATATGAAACCATATAAGATTCATGCCAAACAGACCATGAACAACAAAAATGAGCTCCGCAAAACGTTACAGCGATATTTAACTTTTCCGTCTACTTTTTCTAGAACAGCAAAGCTATCGTCGCACATATCCCAATGCCGGGACATCCAGTTGGGGAATCATTGCTAGAGGAAACGGTCACAAATCTCAAGTTAATTATAGAAGCGATCGCTGAACATGACGTGATATTTTTACTGCTCGATACAAGAGAGGCTCGATGGTTGCCCACGCTTGTTGCAGCGCACCATGGAAAAGTAAGACCTATTAACCTTTTATGTAACAATGACGATGTTTGACTGTAGATTAATTGCCGAAGTTATAGCTCACATGGGAAAAGCAATTTTGTATGTAAATTGAAATACAAATCCTTCTCTTACTATCATCATTGAAGCCAAGTAAGTCCACTGCTAAACTTTTGCTTACTCCATAGATTATTACCAAGCACTATCCGAAGTCTACCCTTAGTGGGATTGCGATGCGATGACATTTGCATTTATGCAAGATTTATTTCACAGGGTGATTGGTGATCATTGTTGTCATTTACAATATCTCCATTATTATTATTAATTTTCGGTTAATAACAGTGATACCGTTTAAGTAATAATTAATTTAAAGTTGAGAGTGCCAATGAATAAATAAAGAACTATTTTTTTTTTTAGGATGAGATAGATTTTGTTAACAAGCGAGTACACAGTCCACCTGATAGTAAAAAGTTGCTGTGACCTATCGGCATCTACATCTATCCTCAACTATCAAATTGCAGATGCGTAGTCACCCGTGAGGACTAAGATAGAATGCCTCGTTTCCAATAAAAGGGATCTCCGGTTCTCTACAGTCATTATACGAAACACAGCAGCGTTAAGCTGTTATTTTAAGCTGGTATTCTGTGCGATAATGCTCAAACTAACTCAAATTTATAATAAATGATATGCTTTTAACTTATGCAGATTGTCATAAACGCAGCGCTCGGTTTCGACAGTTATCTGGTAATGCGACATGGCGTTGGCTTACGCTGCATGGAAAGTGCTGTATCCGTCAACAGCACTTACATTCCAGGGGGTCTGCTGGGATGCTACTTCTGTAATGATGTCACTGCGCCAGGAAACGTAAGAGTAAACCTTTTTATTTTTATAGCTTTAATGATTTGCGTCCATTGCTTTGTCCAGTCAAAGCAACGAACGCGCGAAAATTGCACACGCACGAAAGAAGTTTTCGCATCAGACTGCTATTTATTTATTTATTTGCTTAGAATGTAGGTAGATCTTACAAAAGTATTATTAAAGCATAAAGTTCCGATACATTCTGCCTTATCAAGGCGTGCAAATTTTAACTGAATAGTTATAAGTTGCAATACATTTTTCTTTACAATAATTATTGATGAATTTTAGTCTAATATAATTATATCCTAATAGTACTAATAAAAAATGTCCAATTAATAATAAAATAAATGTCAAAAGAATAATTACGAAGTACAATATCACACAATCATTTACAAAAATGTCAAAATACAAATGTTAACATGTAAAAACAGTAAAATCAACCAACCAATAATTATTCTATCGAAGTCTTATTTTATTAACTTACAGCAAAAAATTCAAGCAATTTAGATACGGATATTAAATACGTAATTTGTTTTAATTTTTATGATCAAAATACTCATTAACGGTATAAAAACAGTTAAGTAAGAGCCATTCGTGAAGTTTGTTTTTTAACTTTGTCATTGGGAAATTTTTAAACTCGTCGGGTAAAGAATTAAAGATTTTAATCGCCATTATGTACGAATTTTTTTGAAAAAACATCAATTTACATTTCGGAAGGTATATTCTGTTATTAGATTTTTGTCTTAAACTTCTGTCTCTTAAAAAAATATTAGTTGGGAAGTATTCAGGGAATTGCTTGACAAAAGTCGCAGCTTGTTTGATATACATACATGCGAGTGGTAACACTTTTATTTCTTTAAATAATGGCTTGCACGATGCCATGGAATGTGCTCCACAGATTGCTCGAATGCATTTTTTTTTGGATTCTAAATACGCGTTCTATTTCAGAACAGTTGCCCCATATCAGAAGTTCATACTGCAATATCGATGAGACATAGCCATGATAGGCGTTTAACGCTGCTTTGGCAGATGCTATCTCTCGAAGTCGGCGAAGCGCAAATACAAATCTGTTTTATTTCACATATCGATTGAACATGCATTTTCCAGTTACAATTATTATCAATAGTAATACCAAGAAACTTATAATAACCAACTTCTTGTACCACTTTTTCATTATACTTTATACTTAAATTAGTTTGCTTACTTCTAATCGTGTGAAATTGCATTATTTTAGTTTTATTTATATTTACAGTCATGTTGTGAGAATTCAACTAATCAATTAGCATCTCGAAGCGTGTTTCCATTAAAACATACTTTTATTGCTAGCAGAAAGCATTACTAAATATCACCTTGGCTACATCTTGAAGCGTGCTTCCATTAAAACATACTTCAAGCCGCCGAAGAAGATTAGTGAGTTTTTACCATCAGTCAAGTGTAATATTCCTCTGCAAGATGCAGGAGTGTACAAGCTTGATTGTGAATGTGGTCTCTCTTATATAGGACAAACTAAAAGATCCATAAAAACCCGCGTTAAAGAACAACATAGCTGATGTGAAGAATCGACTACGTTAGATTTGATAGACCACAAATCCTCACTAAAGAACAAAGATTCCTTCCAAGGATGATCCGCGAGACCATTGAAAAAAAAAATATCCTAATTTCAATAGAGATAGCTGGGTGCTATACTTGGGATCCCATATTTAATAAAATTAAATCCCAACCCAAGTATACAACTGTAAGACTTGAGATACTGTAAGTTCATACTGCGTAGATCGGAACAAAAATTAATAATTTTTAATTTGGAGGTAGCCGTTGTTAACTATGACATTGGGACGTCATACACCTTAGTCGTGCTGTAAAGTGCTCGAAACGTCGGGAATATAAACTAAGTTAATATATGCGATAAAATCCGTAAAATTTGTTTTATTTATGTGTTTTCTTATCATAAAATGTAATCTCACGTTCAGTATAACATATCCGATTTGGTTCGGTACTGTAAGGTTATACTGTTGTGTTGAATAAATAAATCTAAAATCATCATCATCATCATCATCACAGCCCTTCACAAGTCCACTGCTGAACATAGACCTCTCCCACTGATGTCATGGAGAGAGTTATGTTCGGAGTTTCTTTGCGTGATAGACTTAGAAACTAGGATATTCACAGCAGAACCAAAGTAACCGACATAGCCCAACGAATGAGTAAGCTGAGGTGGCAAAGAGTCAGTTATAAGCTCGAAGAACCGATAACCGATGTGGAAGAAAGGTCCTCGAGAGGCAAACACGTACCGGTAAGCGAAGTGTGGGGCTGCCTTCTACTAGATGGAGTGAAGACCTAGTAAGATATGCTGACTCAGGACTGTGCTTTTTCGCATTCCTTGGTGAGGCCTAAGCTTAGCAGTTGACTTGTGGGCTGTTAGGATAACGATGATGAGGATGATTTTGTATATTTAAAACTGATAAAAAAGAATGAAAAAGTAAATGAATTTTTGCAAAGTAGTCTTGTGTATTAAATAATATTTTATTTCCAGTCTCTGAAAGACCGTACATTAGACCAACAATGCACGGTGACTCGACCGGGTGTGGCCGCGATCGCCGGGGCTCTAGCGGTAGAAGTCCTCGTAGCGCTGTTACAACATCCACTAAGGTAATATTTTATTTATTTCATCATCATCATGATGATTGATGGTCAGTCCTTCATATGTCTACTGCTGAAAATAGGCCTCCCCCAAGGAACACCACATATTTTTATCATATTATATTTATTAAATTTTTGGTAAATGTTGATGACCTTCTAGTGGCGGTGTAAGAACATCCACAACTCCATGTCGTCCCGTGGGTGTCGTAAGAGGCGGCAGAGTGAAACAAACCAGGATATCAGCAGCGTTTCCCTAATAACAATTAAGGAAATAAAAAAAAAACTGCGGTTTGCTGACCATCCGTCTGTCAAGCGTGCCATAGTGATTCTATAAGAGTCTATGATTCAATCTATGGAGAGGCATATATACAACAGTGGACTTTTGATAGTCTGTAAGGAATGAATGAATGATTAAATTTTTTTAAATTCATCCTTCATTCCGAGTGGGGGGGGGGGCGGTATTTTAATTCCACACTTCTTAAAAAAGAATAACCCTGCAACATGTGAGTATAAAAAACAAGTCTCCTAGAGCCACAAGTACTAAGAAACATTGAACTAATAAAATGGATTTTTATCTAAGCAAATACTATGTCCAGCACGCCAAAGTCGTCTATAGTTGACCGCTAGTGCCGTGCTCGGGAGGCATAGATTTCTTGAAAACTAGCCAAAGTTCAGGTCAAACGTGTTATTTTTTTTTCTATTGTTATTGATATTTGAATATAACAAAAGGTTAGAAACGTAAAATTATAATTAGCTACATGAATAAAAAAATATTATCAAATCATCTTCGCATTATAAATCTAATATCAACTCCAACGTCAACGTCAACTCCGGCGCATCCTTAGCGTGTCATTGAAAATCAGTTCACTGGGCGCCGTGGTCAAGTATAGACGACACCCTGATGACGTCATAAGTGATTAGCGGGAAAAGTAGTGCAGTGCAACATGAACGATTCTGACTGATTTACTTAGTGCGAATAATTATATACAATTGTTGATTAGTGAATAATTATGTACCTTTTTTATTTTAATAATATAAAATTACAAATAATAAATGTGTTTGTTTTTCTTAAGGTATGAAGAGCAATTTTTCATTTTGTGTTGTGCTATTTTCTTTCTCAATCTCAAAATCATCTGGCAGCATCAGCGTCATATCAAACCCCCATTGTCATAAGAGCGTAAGACTTTTCTTCTGCGCTTCACTTGGCCTACGCCTCCCCGACACATAAAATATTTTGATTCGATATCTGTATATTTTGGTTAGATCGATTTCGAAATCGACACACAACGTGCGACACGGCTACATCTCTAAGAAAGTTTCAAAAAGGAAGGTCTACGCCGTTGTCGTCCAGTCGTGACAGTGACGTCATCACGATGGAGTAGTGCTGTGGTTTACTACTATTTTATTGTTAGTTTGTTTTTTATTTATGTACAAAGTACATATTATATAAAAACAGTGGAAGACGGCACAAGATTAAATAAAATATACCAGATTATAAAGTCATTTATTGCATAAAAAACCAACAAAAACAAGTTATTTGGTGTTATCGATATATCAACTCTTGGCAACACTATTATTTTCGTAGGTATTTTTGTTTACTTTTCGCTTTGGCGTACAGGCCACGGTAATGCGTTTTTGGCGTGGCAGTCAAAAGGTTAAAAAAGTTTCGTTTCCGCTATAGTAAAAGCATAGCTTTGGTTTTTCAGTTTAAAAAATATTTTTATGATTGTCCCATATATTACAGAAATAAAAACCATTTAATTATGCTTATAATTTATTGTTTTATTGCCTACATATATTTGTTTAACTGTTACGAACGATGTCAGGCACCCATTGTCATACATCTCCTTTAATCTTTTCTTTCTTTAACTACAGAGTGGAAGCCCCAGCGCTGTATAACTTCAATGGAGATGAAGACATAGCATCAGAGCTGCAGGGTGTTTTAGGCCCTATACCCCATTCGATACGAGGTTTTCTTCATTCTTACACAAGCGTAACGCCAACATGTGCCAAGTTCAAACAGTGCATAGCTTGCTCGGATGTAGTTATAAATAAGTACAGGGAAAAGGGAACAGAGTTCTTATTGAAGGTATTCAACAGCGGGAAATACTTGGAGGAGGTTACGGGATTGTCGGAGTTGCAGTTGGCAGCGGAAATGACTGATGTAAGTATTTAGGAAATTTTGGAAAAGAATAATCTGGGAATTGTGCCAGTGGCACTGGGCGATACGCCACTGACGCCAATACATCGCAGCCACTTGCCATCCTACCCAAAATCGGAGACCAGCTAAATTGCTCTGCGAGATAGATGGAGGCAATCACAATACAACTTGAGCCAATTTCTCTTTTTTTTTTTTGCATATACTGCTCCTTTAGAGATTCAAACCCAGCACCAGTGGTGCACTAGCAAGGTACTTTGACCATTGGTCCAAGTGGTTGTAAAATGATAAAGCTTGTTTAGTGTCGATGTAAGAGTATCTATAATCCGATCTATCGTTTATCGTGTAATTATTAATGTAAGAAGTGCTGGTACGATTTCATGGGCTTGAAAAGATAGCGAAAAACCTTATCGTGAATTACCAGACGTAAGCCAGGCCGGCGATGAACAAACGCATCAAGGGTGCGAAATGTATGCAATCCGCTTACAAAGTGTGGCGATTGTGTTTATATAAAAATCGTTTGTTTGTTCTTTTTGCAGATACTAACATTTTCCGACGAAGACCAAGATCAAGAGTAATAAATATTTAATCTTATACTATAGGAGAAATACAATGAGGCATCAACTTATTATCAAATTGAAAGCTGCTTTCTTAGTTAGCGTTTATTGATAATGTTTCAAATACTTGTAAATGCTAATTATTATATTTAAATGTACTGAAGAGTACATGATTGATAATAATCTTTGGGAATGAGATTGTCACTACCATACTATTTATAAATAGTTTTCATATTTAATTGTTATTGTAAACTAATGTTTTTATAAATAAAGTCCCGTTGGTTTTTTGTTGGTTCTTCCCAGGACATAAGTTTTTTATCCCGAATAAGTGGTAAAATCATTATGTATCCTTGTAATCTATTTTATCTATATATAAAAATCAATTTTGCTGTCCGTTAGTCTCACTAAAACTCAACGGCTCGACCGACTTTGATGAAATTTTTCGTGTGTGTTTGAATGGGTTCCTAGATGGTTTAGATTTACATATAAAACCGGTAGTATTGAATAAAAATTATTCTATTCTGATCGTTAATATTTAGCACATCACCTTTATTTAATTTTATTATTAAAAAGTTTTTTTTTTTAAATTATAAAACTGCTAACCCAATACCAAAGAACAACATGGGGACAATCGTAACATTCGTTGCACAAACGAAAGCTTCGGGTGGGATCCCAAAATATGTAACGCAGTCGTTCCAGTGAGATGTAAAGATGGTACAATGTCAATGCTCGATATTATGACTAATATTGACTGCTTGATATATACGATTAGCTTTTCGTTATAGATAATCATAACATAAATCTAATCGAATAAACCAGCCCTATAAACATTTGTTTTAATTTCTAAGATAAAGCCCAGTTTTTTTAAAAAATTTGAAATCAATTCCGACAAACGATTGACCACCAATGTACCTGATCTACTCTGCTAGAATCTAGTACCCTATATCATCCCGTGGGTGTCGTAAAAGGCGACATAGTTCCCTCTGAAACAAATTGGCAGCATCATCTTCCTCATAACTCAAAAAAATGTGGTTTGTTATACCCGCCTGCTTAGCATGGATCTTGCCAATATTCCTCCTTTAAGGCAATTTATGGGGAAGACCTATGTTCAGCTGTGGACTTATAATAGGCTGTTGGTGTCCGACCAAAGCTTCAGCTTTCGCCACCTTTGGCCTTCCAAAATCAGCCGAAATTTGGCCGAAGCCGAAGGTTTAGTTAAACAGTCCAAAACGTTAAACAAAACCTTGCATACACATTGGACACGTACCATACAAGTTAGTGTACGCACGTGTTAGTTTGTACACATTAGTGTTTTATAACGAGTTGAATGTACTCGTAAATTCAAGAAAAACAACTTCCTTCTGCGTGAATCCCATATCTCTGGTGCCCTTTGACCTACAGGACCCAAATTCAAACTCGACCGAGCTACTGCCTCAAGGTATCCACATACCAAATTTAAAGTCAATCGGTCCAGTGGAACGGAAGTTATCGTGTCGGCATACAGACTAACAGACTGCCAGCTAAAACCATTAACTTCCTTTCAATGCTACGCAGAAGGAAGTTAATAATTATTGTGTACTTATAAAAAAGTACAGCAAGGACTTGTTATACTGTCAAGTTTTTTTGGGCGAGAGTTGATAAAAAATCAGGATTCCAAAACCCATTACAAATCACGACCCGTTAATTATTTTTGCTGATAGCGGCCTCGCACTTGACAACAGCTGCGAGCCTCGTACCACAAAACTACTTGCGGCGATAAGCAGCTTACTTATTATTTTTTGTACTATTATTTATTCTGTGCTATTACATAAATTGCTGAGCATTAATAAAAATATTAATAAAATAAATGCATTATGATGGGTAAGCCTTTTTTTGAAGAATTTTAATTGAGTTAGTTTCTGCTGGCCGTATAAGGAAGCTCAAGCGAGCTATGGAGAGGGCTATGCACGGGGTTTCTCTGCGTGATAAACTTAAAAATGAGCATATCCGCCGTAGAACCAGAGTAACCGACATAGCCCAACGGAATAGTAAGCTGAAGTGGCAGTGGGCCGGCCATATAGCTCGAAGGACCGACAACCGATGGGGAAGAAAGGTTCTCGAGCGGCAGCCTCGTATCGGTAGGCGAAGTGTAGGGCGACCCCCCACTAGACGGAGTGATGACTTGGTAAGACATGCAGGAAGTCGATGGATGCAGGTGGCTCAGGACCGTGCTTTGTGGCATTCCTTGGGGGAGGCCTATGTTCAGCAGTGGACTTGTGAAGGGCTGCAATGATGATGATGAATTTCTGGTGAAACGTATTAAAAAGAGGCATTATTTGTAAAAATCAACATTTATTAAACAATTAAACAGAAAATTAAATAACTTTAACGTTAATTTCAGTCTTTATAATTGCTTTGTTTATTTCTTTTAGTCACACACAGATGCACTTCTAACCAGTTAAATCTTATAGTTATGAAAAGAACTAAGTTAAACTTAGGTTCAGTCAATTATTTGAAAACTAAAATTATTACATAACAATTTCGACAATCTTGTCTCGTCTCGAGTCTCGACCCTAAAGTCCCGGGACTCGAGACAACTAAAATTACAAAGTCCCGGGACTTCGAGACACGAGACGTCCCGGGACCCAAACCCTAGAGTCTAGGTAAATGAAGCGATTCTATTGGTTCCTTAACAAACACATCCCTCGCTACGCATCCTCGCACATCTCTGGTGGAAACGCAACCTTAGTGTTAACACATTAAAGACTGTTAACAACATGTTTATTTTATTGCTTAATTTAAGTTTGCAATAAAGACATCTGCCATCCTTGTACACAAATTTATTTTATTTTTAAATATAAGTACATACTTAATCAAATTGTACATATCTCCAAATATAATAAAAATATACTTTAAACGTGGTAGAGCCACGCTGCAGCTATATGATGGTAGTAGCACCAATGGGTCGGCTCGACCGTGGTAGGACCACGCTCTCACAAAATAGCAGCGTAAATAGCAACTTAATGCTGCTGTGTTTCGTATGGTGAGTGTAGAGAACCGGAGACCCTTTTTACTGGAAATGAGGCTTTCCATCTTAATCCTCAGGGGTGACAAGGCATCTGCATTTGATTTTTAATTGAGGATAAATCTATGGGCCACAGCATCCACTTACCATCAGGTGAACTGTGTGCTCGTTTGTCACCCTTATTCAATTAAAAAAAATTATATGTCTAATACGTGGTAGAGCCACGCTGCAGCTATATTATGAATGCAGACTTGACTGGGGAAGGCCTGCGCTTTCACAGAATACCAGCGTAAAATGGCAGTTAAATGCTGTCGTGTTTTGTATGGTGAAGGTAAATAACCAAGAGACCTTTTTCACTAGAAACGAAGCATTCCGTCACAGTCCTCAGGGATGACAACGCATCTGCATTTTTTATCGAGAATGGCTGTATCTGTCTATGGACCACAGCATCCACTTAGCATTAGATGAACTGTGTGCACGCTTGTCACTTTTATTCTATAAAAAAAAGGTGTAGCTAATACGCTGACAGAAACAAGATAATCTTTGTAGAAGTTTTTAAACTAGTGTTTTTCTTGTTTTTGGATTTTTTTATATTTTTATTTTCTATAAAATGATCATGATGTTTATTAGTTGCCAACTTAATATTTATACAAATAGATCCGCAGAAGCTCGGGGTTACGCGCTTAATATGTATATAACTTAATACTTTACTGATATTCATTGTTCAAGGGCTGACTATTATATTTTGATTAATAAATAATTAATTTTCATAAATTGTGTTTTCTTGTAAATATAGAATAATATTTATGTACATACATCATTAATAATACGGAATTTGCATTACTCTGTAGGTACTTGTTGTTAGTGCTAGACGACATTTCTTATTACATATAGAACTTCGGCTTCGGTCGAAGGTTACGGCAATAGCCGAACAATCTGTTTCAACCAAAAACTGAACTCCGATCCAGTTATGATAATGATGAATCTCACTTCTATCAAAGACATTGTTTATGCTTGTTTTTATAAGCTAAGTATAATACCAAAAGTATGATTTATTTAGAGAAGGTTTACATATAATATGTATAAAATGTATCTCAATCTATGTAATTTTTCTCGTTTTATAAATTATATGTAGGTTAAAAAAAAAGTTTAAGTCCCCAGTTTTCTCTCAGATCGGAGCATTAAGGTCGTAATCGACGGTGTAGGCTCCGACTCCACCCCCCACCCCCGAACGGGTTCCCGCCTTGTCGTGGCTTAATAGCCGTGGGGGGGGGGGGGGCTTATGGCCCGTGGTGTAGAGCCAGCCCGAGGCCGCCCCTCCGAGTGGGCTTGGCGAGCCCACTTTGGATGTATGTCGGTGGGTTGCTGCGAGAGGGGTGTCCTCTCCCTCTACTGCTGCAGCCGAGGTGGAGTCGCGGAGGAAGAGGAGTGTTGGTATGGCGATGCGCCACTCGCCCTACCATCCGCAGCCGAATCTTGGTTGACGGCGGCGCTGAGGTCAGGAAGGCCGGTGCTTCTGAGTGCTAGTTTTTCCAGGCCCCATGGCCTTCGCGTATCAGACACGGGGGCGTCTGTTGCGCATTGGAAATTGGAGGCCGAGGAGGAGGGCGTGCCATGTGTTCTGGTGCGCCTCACCTGAGAAGGAGATGGGGGAGAACTAGTCCGCTCCCGAGGAGAGGCCGCCATGGGACGGCCAGCGCAGGTGGGGCCGCGGATTTGTGCGAATGCGTTCCCGTGGCCCTGCCAATATGCGACGAAGGTGGAACACCATGGGGTTTTAGTCGGTGCGAGTCCGACATAACCCGTCATTGCCCCCGCGAGGGGGGTATGCGTAGGCATTTCCCCATGTAAAAAAAAGAAGGCTCCGACTCCAAGCCAGTGAATGCTGCTGTTCCACAAGGCTGCGTGCTATCGCCTACTATGTTCTTTATGCATATTAACGATATGTTACAAATCAGTAACATTAATTCTTATGCAGATGACAGCACTGACGATGCCTTACATACCGACCATGCTA